CAGCAGTTTTGTAGAAGCCTTTACGAATAATTAACTGTGACGAATTAAAGTGCAGTTGATAGTGAAATCGGCTAATCGTTGCATCCCTATTGACGATATCAATGCATAGTACAAAAGGCCTTTTCTACAAACACATCAAAGTGTTTTTGTTTTTTACTGGCTTAATCTTGTTTATTTTAAATGCGTCTGACTATGACCTTGTTAATGTTAACTGCAAACATATTTTGTCCTTTATGTTTGCAGAAAAAATTCAACAGCATTTTCATTTTTAATTTCAGTTCCATCAAATGTTTCAAAAGCAAACCAACAATGCAAAATGTATTTTCTACTATTTAAAAAAAAAAAATGGTAATTTCGTCCCTTCTCTCCTTTAGTATTTTTACAGTGTATAAATATAATATTCTGGCCAGGAATGAAGAAAAAAGTTGTTAATGTGACCTATATTATGTAATTCAAATGACATGGGTTTATGCAATGATGTGAGTGAAATAATTTTTGCTAAAATTTAATTTTGTGTGTCAAGTAAGATCTCGTAGAACATCATAAGCTCAAACACACACACACAAAAAACTTTTTTAAAAAGTGTCTTTATTTGGTATCAAAAATCCTTTCCACAAAATTATATAAAGCGTCATTGCCATTTTCAACATTGATGATAAATATAGTACAATTATTATTGTTGATGTTGTCTACAATCTGCATATTAGAATTATTTAGAAGGATCAAGTGACAAAAGGCTGCAGTAATGGCTGCTAAGATTTTAACCGTCATCACAGGAATAAATTAAATTTTTAAACATATTAAAATAGAAAACAGTTATCTTAAATGTTGATAATAATATATTGTACAATATTATAGCTTTACTGTATTTTTAAATATAAAAATATGACTATAGTATAATAATAAAAAATATATAAAATTATAATGATAAAAAACATAAATATACGCGAATATCTTAAAACATAAACAATTTGCACAAATATTAAAACAGTAAATAAATAAATAAATAATACATGTATTTTAATAATAAATAATTGTAAAAATTAAAACTAATACAACACTAAAAACTAGGTCATTGAAATCAATTAGAAAAAAACAATTTGAAACTGTAGCATATATTACAACACAATGTTGTTGAGTTGTTTTGCTCAACTGTTGTTTTTTTTCAGCCTAAATGACAACCCTTATATCCTGAAACACTGCCACCATTATTAAAGATGAACAGCTGTTTGTAAACACACAGCGAGACTAACTCAATGGTTTGCAGATCAGAGGCCGTAACCCTCCTTAAGCTCTGAGCCAAACTCAGCTCCATCACGTGACTCTGCCGAGTTTCCTCCAATTCATATTACAGCAAACATGACACTCGCCAAACGGCTTGGAGGTGCACAATGGCCTCACATCTGAACAATTCACTGCCAAAGGCCAAGTTTATTTAGGAAACATGTGCCAGAGCAGTAAATACAATGCACAGGCGGTAAAGATGATTTCCAGTTGTTTGCTTTTAAAGCTCCACTCTTATTGATTTGCATGGTAATATTTGATATGATGTTTTGCATAACTGTGTGCTGTAACTTGCAATTTTTATGCCTCAATCTTTTTATTATTATTATGGGTTATTTTACTCAAAGCCATCCCTAATAAATTTAGTAAAAAAACATATTTCCCATATATATGTTAATGAATAGGAAAAACACATTAAAATAAAGAGTTTTCAGAATTATTTTAATTACAAATCCTTCGAAATCCACAAATTATTAAGCATCATCACAGTCGTTTTAAGATCCATAAGAATGTTTTGTGATCAAATCTTCATATTACAATCATTTCTGAGTGATCATGTAATCTTGAAGGCTGAAGTAATGATGCTGAAAATTCAGCTTATTAAAGAAGATTTAATTACTTAAATAATATATCAGAATATTTAGCCATTTACTATATTATTAATCAAATAAATGCAGAATTAGGAAGTAAAAGAGACTTTTTAATATTATGAAACCTGTGAAAATTCTGCAGTGAGCATAAAAAACAGAATTGCATGTAATAAACAAAATAAAGGGAATTATGAAAGGAAAAACTATCCTGCTAGAACAGAGATGCCCAAACTAGGGTCTGCGGGACAAAGTTGGCCCATGAAAATCTTTGATTTGAAGAGAAGAGAGTAAAAATGAAGGGGAATGAAATTGTCTTTTCTAATTTAACGTACCATTTTGTGTTACTGTTGAGCTACAAAAAAGCAAGCGTGAATTGAACTCTTTTGTGTTATAAAATTAACTTGTTTGTTTTTTATTGTAATAAGTTAATTATAAAATGTACAAAATCATATGCATTAGTAAACCTAATGTGATTAAAGTAATGCTTTCTATTTATTTTATATATAATTTACAATTTAGGAAATTACCCATGACAATTATTTTTACTATCGGCCCACAGCCCTCAAATTATATTTGGCATTTGGCCTTTCATAAGAAACAGTTTGGTCACCCATTTGTTTGATGAGTAAATGACAGAAATACACTAAACAAATGTATATAAATAATATACATCAAAGTGTTCAATAAAATATACAAGTATTAAGGTAATATTAACCACACTAAATATAAATATGTTAATGAAATAAATAAATAAACATTTATTTTAATGCTGAAAACATCAATTAAAGAAGAGTCAATTAAAAAACTTTAAACAAGACAGGTTTTAATACACTGGAAAGCCCAAAAAGTTAAGGTAACTCAAACCATTTGAGGAAACCAATTGCAACAAATCATTTAAGTTCAAAAGCTAATCCTAATGAGTACTGTGAACTTAATCCATTTGAGTAAAAGAAGCAATGTGAGCACAGTAAAACCCAGTAAATAAAGAGAACTCAAACCAACTAAGAACTGTAAAACCCAGTAAGTTAAGGCAACTCAAACCATTTGAGGAAACCGATTGATACAAACTATTTGGGCTCTATTTTGACGGTCCATGCGCAAAGCGCAAAACGCAGAACGCAAATGCTTTCAGGGCGTGTCAGGACGCGTTTTTTGCTAATTTAAGGACGGGAAATCTGCCTTGCGGTTCGGTGCATGGTCTAAAAGGGTTGAGTTTTGAGTGTGTTTTGAGAATAAACCAATTAGAGTCTCATCTCCCATTCCCTTTAGGAGTCAGCTGCGTCACGCCAAGAGCGCATTCGCTATTTACAGGACGCAAAGTAAGTCTAAGTGGAAAAAATTAGCATTTCACAAGCAAACAGTTAACAGTTGACAGTTTTTTAACAGCAAACTGTTAAACAGAGCCTCTACTGCGTGAGAATGAGAGATAATGGATCACTTTCACTTTCGCTCTTGGATAGGGAAACCTTTACGCACAGACATCAATTAGTCAATAAATAAATATTTTTGTTTGTTAAGCGCAAATATTCGTTTCAAAACTATTTCTAAATTCAGTTATCCAGCAAACGGATAAATGAATAATAATAGCAAAATGTGCTCAAAAACCTGATTTATATCCTAAAACACATGCTGTGCCCCATATGGTCTAAAACCTGACAGGTGGGCAAATCTAAGCTTGTTTTTAATAAAACTAATATACATATGGATATAATAAATAATACTGCTAATAATAATTACATTATACAAAAGCAAATTGTTATGAATGAACTGAAAAAACCTCCCGAGATGAAGAAGACATAAAAGCAGTGGTTTTTCATATTTATGTAGGCTAGAAAATAATATGTTTTGTAATATTTTAATCCTTTATATTTATATTCTATATCTATTCTTATTATATCCTATATATATCCTTAATATTTACATTTTTTCATATGTAAAGATGTTTGCTTATTGCTCTCTTGTGCGTATTAAGCAGTGCGTAAGCGAGGCGCAACTCTGCGCTGGAGTTTAGAACGGGTTAGTTTTGGTCTAATGAAAAATCTATTATAGATTCTCAAAATAGCAATGCGCCAGCGGTCCGCCTCAGAACGCCTTCCTTTTTAGACCAGAATGCCTATGGGCGCAAAAATGAGCGCTAATGCATTTGATATTTAAACAGCGTAGCGCAAAACGACTCTTGCGCCAAGCTGAAACTACCAAAAGACTACTGCATCACGCCTTGCGCCACACTGCGCCAGGTGTATGATAGGGCCCATTGAGTTAAAAAACGAATGAGTACTGTGAACTTACTCCATTTAAGATGAAGTAATGAGGTTTTTATCTAACTCAGTACCCTCAACACTAAGTTTAAAACTCTTTTCAAATGAGTAGAATTAACTTTCATTTAATTTTGAGTTCACTACACTCATTTCATTTGTTGGGTTTTACAGTGTACTGTATGGAATTACATTTAGTACATGGTAAAAACATTCTTGCTGCTTAATTGTTTTTAGTTGAATCAAATCAACTTTTCTAGTCATCTCCACTTACATCAGTATACTGTTTTGTTTTTTACTGCAAAACATATACACACACACACATGTTTAATCATCATGGTAACTCTATAAAAGAATTGCTTCTTGACTTTTTATACATCTTCACGTGGTAGCGGTGCAGTAATCGATAGCACATGTTCCAGCGGACATTGAAATTGGTTTAATTCGACAACAAGTTTCATGCTTCAATCAGTTATTTGTTTGTGGTGCTCGTTTTGCAAACAGAACGTTTCTTCAGTCTGGATTGGTCTTGAATGCGAGGATTTGCATCATGTGCTGGTGTTTTGTGTTGCTTTGAATCAGTTGGCAGCATCTATTGATTCCGTTTCTGCTTCTGGGAAACACTGGGAGACAAGATCACAAGCTCTGCCTGTAGCTTTCTGTGGAGAGACACACACACACACACACACACACACACACAATGGCACTGTGGCTTTTTCAGGATCATTTTTCATATAGGCTTTATATTTACATTCTGCTATTTTAAGCATGCTAGGAAAAGTGTTGGTCTGGTTGTAGAAGTCTGCATCAATAGTCATTAAAAACACGTTATTCAACTTCCACTCAGCACATTTCTACAATTCTTTTATAGGCAACCAGACAAACTGAGAGTGGTGTGGACCAGGAGGAACAGACGCATTTGCTCCAAGGTACAAAGAAAAGCGAGCTTTAATTGTGAATAAATGCATAAATAATACATGGAAATATACAGTTGAAGTCAGAATTATTAGTCCCCGTTTAAATTTTTTTTCTTTTTAAAATATTTCCCAAATGCTGTTTAACAGAGCAAGGAACTTTTCACAATATGTCTGATAATGTTTTGTCTTCTGGAGAAAGTCTTATTTGTTTTATTTTGGCTAGAATAAAAGCAGTTTTGAATTTCTTTTAAAAAACATTTTAAGGTTACTAATATTATTAGCCCCTTTAAGCTATATTTTTTCGATAGTCTACAGAACAAACCATCATTATACAATAACTTGCCTAATTACCCTAACCTGCCTAATTAACCTAATTAACCTACCTTTAAACTGGATAGAAGTGACTTGAAAAATATCTAGTCAAATATTATTTACTGTCATCATGGCAAAGATAAAATAAATCAGTAATTAGAAATTAGTTGTTAAAACTATTATGTTATTAGAATTTATTGAAAACTATTGTTTAAAAATGTGTTAAAAAAATCTCTAAATTTAAAAAAATAAACAGGGGGGCTTATAATTCTGACTTCAACTCTACACATAATGTTTTTTCAGGAGATTAGTGTTATATAATAGGTAATATATAATAAAAGGTGTTATATAATAATGAATCATGTCATATTTTACCATGATTTACAGGAAACATCCACTAAAATATCATTCAGTCAAATATTTACCTACTGATTATTTAGCAACACATTAAAATACTAATTATTATACTAATTAAAGAGGACATATTAAGCCCCTAGAGTGTGTATGTGAAGTTGCAGGTCATTATAACACTAAAATGTTTTTATGTAACTCTTTGAAACTGCCCCTTTTAGTTTTTGATCCAAATTGTGCTAATTTGGAGACTTTTCAAAAGTGGGCGGAGCTACGAACATCTATATGTCAGCATAGCGCCAGCAAAGTGGCTTCTTCTAACTCAGGGCTGTCTATGCTAATGAGAGCGGAGCTTTCCCATTTGATGACATGTGCAAAGGGAGAATGTCAATCAAAGTGTTTCTGCAGACTGTTTTAATCACTTGTGATTATAAAAAAAACTGATTTAATAAATTTTCACTAATAGAGGCTGGATATATTCACACTATGTAGGTACACAACTGTGTTTAAACACTATGTGATTTTTGCATAATAAGTCCCCTTTAATGATGGTAGCTGTATATCTTTACACTTTACCACTAGCCTTCAAACAACACTAGGTTTTACTTATTTGTCAGTAAGAGGTTTTTGGGTATTTAAAATATGATACAATTAGTATGATCATGTATTATCTATCAAATGTTACTATATGCAGGTCATAATAAGTGTGATGTTTAATTTTTACATGAATATATTGGTGGTTATTTTTATTATTATGGAACATTTTATCTCATATTTTGCATTTTGTTTTCATAAAAGCTATTTAAAACTTTAAAGTAGACATTTGACTTGCCCTTAAGATTTTTCAGTGGATTTCAAATCATTGTTATGTTCAATATGTTATGAACACATCAAATTTTTGTATATCTGTGTGTGCATAGCAAGTTAGTATATAATTTATGGTTAGATTATTTCTAGAATTTCTTCCCAAGCTTTCAGATGTAATAGTTTTCTGACATTTTGAATTATTATTATTATAACCATGTCTTTGTTTGCAGTGATTTGCAGGTGCTTACAGTGATCATTATAAATGTCTTTTCTTTCCTTGTAAGCTTCATTCATGGCAGCCAGGCATCAAAAATCCTTACAGGGGAATGGTGGTTTGGCCCGTTCCCGAGAATGTGGACATTACAGTCACACTCTACAGGGTAGGACATATTAATATAATGCATTAATCCATGCCATATGCAACATGTTAAAGATACAGCCACATAGATGCTAAACAGTATTATAATTTTAGATTTTTTTTTCACAGGATCCACATGCAGATGAGTTTGAAGACAAAGAGTGGACATTTTTTATTGAGAATGTAAGTGCCCTCGTAAATGATTATTTAAATTTAGTTGTTTTTTTTAAACAAAGGGACTAAGCCAAAGGTAAATGAATGAATGAATTTTTTTTAACAATATATTTTTTATTTGCGTTAATTATTATTATTATTATTATTATTATTATTATTATTATTATTATTATTATTATATTGTTATCATTATTATTATCATCATCAATTTTATTATTTATTTTATTAATAATCATACTATTTAATAATGATAATAATGATAATAGTAATTATAATTATTATTTTTAATATTATTATTATGTTGTTATTATAATTATAATTATTATATTGTTGTTGTTGTTATTTTTATTATTATTTTATTATTATTAATATTATTATTTGTTTAATTATTTTTAATATAAATTGTATAATATAATGACAATAATAATATAATATTTATATTATTATTAGTATCAGTATTATTAAATATAAAATAAGTATACCATATGTATTTTTAAACATTTTAAATGCTTTTTAATGTTTATATTTAAATGATTTTTTATGAACAATTCTTGTAGAAAATGTACTGTACAAATATATCGTGAAAATAATACATGTAATTATTCTCAAAGTTCCGTTATACTGTATTAAACTTGTATAATGTGCTGCAGGAGACGGCAAAGGGCAGTCGGAAAGTGTTGGCATCTGTGGACTTGAACATGAAGAAGTTTGCCAGTGCCACACACTCGCAGACAGACCTGATGCTCAAAATGAAGCCTCTGTCAGTGAAAGTGGTGGAGGCCACACTGAAGCTGTCTTTATCATGTGTGTTCCTCAAGGAGGGGAAAGCTACGTGAGTCCACTGCTTTATTTACTAATTCAATCATGTGGGAATCTGACCACAGCATGTCAAAATGTGACTGCAGCAAAACTGAATTGCATGAAAAGTATGGAAAAGAAGAAAAAACAAAATGACGACCCATTTCTTAATAGTTAAATACTTCAAGAAGGATTGAATCTGACAAGCAAAACTGCAGGGAGTTGGATGTTGAACATTGGGGTGGGTTTCTTTTCTGACATTTGAAGGTCAAGAAGCAGAGCAGAATTTTCCAAAACAATGCAGCAAACTCTCAAATCACAGTCTGAGCCTGTAAAGTTGTGCTGTTTGAACTTGTATACGGGTGAAGTAATGCAAGAGAAGTTTGTGCCTAAATTCCTTTAGTGCATTTATATGAAATATGATGTCTCAGTTTATCAATTTCATTTTAAAAAATGTGTTCATAATAGGGATGTAACGGTATTGTAAATACCGTCATACCGCAATATTAAATTTTTTCGATATTACCGAAGTCGCATGACTCGGTAAAACTATAGGTCTTCTGAGAAAATTTGCTCAGGCGAATGAAGCGAACGGGAGGTAGCTGGAACTTCATTTCCCATCAGCCCCGGCGTGGCCATAATCCTTTGCGGTCTGTTGTCGCTACAGATCAAGTGTGCCGCAAGCCTACGTTTGAGTGAAGGTTTCGGCCGTTAGATCGCCCCCTGGGGGCTGGCTGCAGTACAAGTCATAAAGCCCGCCTCCTCCGTGTTAATGAAGGAGACTTGAGCCCAAATAAAAAAAAATATTACACTTGCAATAAAATGTCCCGAAAGATAGTTCTGGTCGATTAAGGCACTGGTTATTGTGCTGAAATAGGTGCAGATCTTCATTTTTGTAAACAGTTTGTTTTTAGCAGTAATTTAATGCTGGGCGTGTCATCGTGATTGAAAGCTGTGATTGACAGTTTCTCAAAGCGCGGCGTCTGAGCTTCGGCAGGAGACTGAAGTAGACTGAAATGTTATTATTCGATTTCTGTGTTATTTTACCATGACAAAATGAGTTCAGCAGTAAACTATAGTTTCTGACAAACATGATCCTGGTGGAACACTGTTTATTCGCTAAGTTCAGGGCTTTTTTCGGGCTTTATTAGTTTGCTGATACATGCCTAGCCACCCAGATAGCAAAACACAGTTCCGGCTAGATTCTCGCCTGCCGGAGACTTATCTCTTAGAGCTCAGACTGACTAATGTTACCTCTGATGGACCTACTCCGGATGCCTGGACTCACTACCCAATTCCTGCCCGAGTCAATCGAGCCAGATGCGGCGGCCGAGCGAGCAGGCGCTGCCGCATGCGAGCCGGAATCAGCCCGCGACGCCACCAGTAAGTTATGCGCTGCGGCCCGGAGCTGGCGCGATTGAATATATAAAACCCTCATATTTGTGAACGTTATTACATCCATTTGTGTTGATATGACAGCAAACGCATGCTGAGAAGTTCGGGGGGCGTGGTTGATTTTACATAAAGCGTTTGATTGGAAGCTCGACTCTGCTCATTTTCGCGGCTCCTCCTCTGGCTCCATCAGACAATCCTTCTGCGCATGTCTGGCTCCAATTTCAGCAGTCTTTTGCGACAGTTTGTGCCCGTCAAGCAGGCGTTTTGCCCTCAAGGCGTTCAATGGGAAAAAGGGCTGTCGCGTCGTCCATATTTTTTACAGTCATTGCTACAGATCCAGTAATGCGGAAATGGAGTGTGCTGCTAGTAGCGGAGATGAAAAAAAGATGGAAATGATCGAACCTAAAGCGGGTGTTGTCGCCGCGCGCGTGCTGAATAGCGGTGCTGTCGCGCGCGTTCTGATCAGCTGTGTTGTGGCGCGCGTATTGTAAAGCGCCGAGGGGGGGTTGAGCGCGCATACTCAAGAGAGGTGTTATCGCGCGCCTACTGAAGGGCTGGACTGGACGGAGGTTGTGTCGCGTCGCGGGGGCACTTTTGATCGTTTTGGAAGGGCATTTTCTATCCAAGACTAAAAAGGGCATGTACACTGCACAGGTTGAGCCCTTATGTGTGCACGTGCCAGCAAGTTGGGGAATACGACTAATAACAGTCATGGGGACTGCAGAAACACAGCACACTGTTCAGATTGATGCAGACATTGACTTGTACCGCAAAGAGATCTCTATCTCACTCATGGTTTGTCCTCTCAAGTGGGGGAAAGACAATGCACAACGTTACCCCACTGCTGTCAACATGGGCCAAGTCATATCTCTCTTGTCCCAGAATCCTCAGTCCCAAATGAGAGGGGTTTTTTCTGTTGCAGGGGACATTGTAAATACTCAGAGATACCAGCTTTTACCAGATTATAGTTATATGATAATTTTCCTTTAAACCCATCTCTATCTAAGTGAGCGAGTGATTAAATGTTAAATGTGATGAGTTTTTAACAATACTAAATTGAAACTTTATTTTTTTACATGGTTTAATAATTTTTTGTTATTAAAATTGAAGTTCCTGTTTCAAAGCTTACAGATAGATGGCTAATTTGTATGTCATTGACACTTTTGGCACTTTTTTGGAGTATTTTTAAAAGTTTTTTTTTTCCTGTAAATGATTCAATAAATACCGTACCGTGACATTCATACCGAGGTATTACCGTACCGTGAAATTCTGATACCGTTACATCCCTAGTTCATAATGATTGATATACAGTCAATGGCCACTTTTAGGTACATCTGTTTAAAGGGATAGTTCACCCATGTGACCTCATCATGTATTATCCCTCATGTGGGATTAAACTTTTAGGAGTTTCTTTCTTCTGTTGAACAAAAAAGAAGATATTTTGAAGAATGCCCGGAGTCATTGGTGTCCATAGTAGGAAATAAGTATTATGGAAGTCAACTGGTGCCAGCAACCATTCATTCATTTATTTTCTTGTCGGCTAAGTCCCTTTATTAATCCGGGGTCGCCACAGCGGAATGAACCGCTAACTTATCCAGCAAGCTTTTACGCAGTGGATGCCCCTCCAGCCGCAACCCATCTCTGGGAAACATCCACACACACATTCACACACACACACACTCATACACTACGGACAATTTAGCCTACCCAATTCACCTGTACCGCATGTCTTTGGACTGTGGGGGAATCCGGAGCACCTGGAGGAAACCCACGCGAAGGCAGGGAGAACATGCAAACTCCACAAAGAAATGCCAACTGAGCCAAGGTTCGAACCAGCAACCCAACGACCTTCTTGCTGTGAGGCAATAGCACTACCTACTGCGCCACTGCCTCGCCTGCCAGCAAGCAACATTTTTCAAAACATCTCTTTTTGTGTGCAACAGTAGAAAGAAACTCAAATAGGTTTTGAAGAAGTGAAGAGAGATTATAAAGTGACACAATTGTCATTTTTGGATGAACTACCCCTTTAAGTGTTTATAGTGGCAGAGAGAGCTCATTGATCTGCAATTAAAGAAAACATTAAACCCCAGTTTCACAGACATGACTTAAGCCTACTCCAAATTGTATGTCTGAGCTATTTCAAGTGGAAGAACAAACTAATCTTTGTATCAGTGCATTTGTTTAGTCTCATGATTGATACCGATAATGATGAAACATTTTTAAACATTGCTCCTATATGAGATATGGCCTACTCCTGGCTTAGTCTAAACCAGTGTTTCCCAAACCTGTTCCTAAAAGCACACCAACAGTACACATTTTCAACCTCTCTCTAACCAAACACACCTGAATCAACTCATTAGAACATAAGAAGAGAATCAAAATCCTGAAATTAATGGGTCAGAAAAGGGATACATCCAAAATATGTACTGTTGGTGTGCCTCGGGGAACAGGGTTGGGAAACACTGGTCTAAACTATAGCCCCTTTCACACAGTGATACCGGTAATTATCTGGAAAATTTCCGGAACGACTTTACCGGTATATGGACCTGTTCACACATACAAGCTTTCCGGAAAATTGCCGGCAATTTTCAGGAAAGGTCTGTATGTGTGAAAGGGGCTTATATCTGTGAAACCAGGCCACAACTAAATAAACCTTCAAATTAGGAAAGCATGTGCTTGACAACACGTGCTGCAAATACTGACAATGCAACCAAAATTAAAGCAGTTGTGAAGGCAAAAGCCTGATACTAGCATCTAATAAAGTGGCCAGTGAGTGGAATCACAACCTGGCAAGCTCTAAAATACCTGTCTGACTTCATATAACTTTGTGGAGTGAAGACATAAATAAAAAATGTTTGAACTTGTTAACCGTGGGTCGTTGTAAATCTTTGGTTAAAGAATCCTGGATTACCTTACCTAATGTTTCATACTGCACATAATTTACCCAGATTCAAAGTCTGTGGGAACCAGAAGTTTCTGAAACTTTTATTTTTAGTATGTTGATCTACTTCCAACTGAAACAAAATGTTGAGAAGGGGATGGGGCTTTATTTTTCCACACCATTCCTTCATAGTGAATTAGCCGTTAACGGTCAGGCTTTGATTGAAGATCTCCGAAACAGTAGATTTTTTTCAGTGGATTAACTTTCTTTTTAAATTTATTGTTCACCTAAAAAATAACAATGTAAATATTCATTGTAATTTTTTCTTTCACATGGACTTTACCATGTAATCCTGAGCAATATATTTTATAATAATATTTTTACAATATTTTAACAATACACACATTTACTTGTAAACCCTGAGTTAACCTCCTTATTTGCATATTAGTGTTGATTGGAAGAATGTAGCATGTGACGTGTTTATAGCTCTGTTATTTTATATTGCCAACTGAACCTTCAAGTTTATCCTGACTATACTTTTTGGACAATAAAGGTAGGAAAGAAATGCAGTGTTTGGAGTGACGATATCTCTGGTTTTATCTCAAGTTGAAAAGCCCTATACACAGTAACAGGTTCAGTGATGTCTTGTCGCAACACCTCTTGATAAATAAACTTAATAATGACTCCAATAGTTGACCAGTGATGGGTTTCCTTTGCAGGGATGAGGACATGCAGAGTCTCGCCAGTCTGATGAGTGTAAAGCCAACAGACATTGGGAATCTGGACGACTTTAATGAGAGCGATGAAGAGGAGGATAAGAGATCCAGCACTGGTATCAATCTCAGCACTGCAGCTCCAGGTATTTTTTAAAACAACAACAGCATAATAATAAATGCATACAGCAGGAGTTCAAATTCAAATTGGATTTTGAAAAGACCATAAATGTTATGATTTGAAGAAGGATATAATGATTTTAAATACTTAAGATTCTATTGCAAACTGTAATAGTGCTATGATAATACTATGATAGAATTTGCAATAAAATAGATGCGCGGTCAAATGCATACTCTGTATACCCTGTATTCTTGTTCTCATATCATTAATCCTCTTTCCTCTTGCACGGTTCACAGTTGATGCATGTGTAATTTCTTTTACTATAGTAACTCTTACTTCCTCACATACTAGAATTTTTCCTTCTGTCTTTCTCTCACTCTCAGCACCTCACCTTTCTCTTCGATCAACACGCTTCCAAGAAAAGAGACCTGCGTCTTTTAAGAGCCCTTCAGCAGCAGGTACTTACATTTACATATGCTCTTTGCATGTTCTCTCTTGTATTCTCTCTGTCTGATCGCTTTAATGTCATTTAAATTCAACTTTAGATAAAAACCACATACAATTAATGTGCTCCATTGAAATATTTCTAAAAGAAATATGATTCTCATGTTCATTCTTACTCCTTCATTGCTATAACTTGCATTTCTTCATGGATTTCATTAAATTGTTACAATTTAAAGGGAGATGTTCACCCATTAAAACCCACTTATCATCATGTTTTTGTCAGAACCCTCATGTTTTTTGTTTATTTGCTTTTATCGATGGACATAAAAGGCAATTTTAAATATTTTATTTAGAATTTTAGTTAGAATTTCATTAAACATACAGTTGAAGTCAAAATTGTTAGCTCCTCTATTTTTTTTTTCTTCAAATTTCTGTTTAACAGAGAGATCTTTTTCAACACATTTCTAAACATAATAGTTTTAATAACTCATTTCTAATAACTGATTTATTTTATCTTTGCCGTGATGACAGTAAATAATATTTGACTAGATATTTTTCAAGACACTTCTATTCAGCTTAAAGTAACATTTAAAAGCTTAACTAGGTTAATTAGGGTTAGTAGGCAGGTTAGGGTAATTAGGCAAGTTATTGTATAATGATGGTTTGCTCTGTAGACTATCAAAAATATATAGCTTAAAGGGGCTAATAATATTAGTAACCTTAAAATGTTTTTTAAAAAATTTAAAACTGCTTTTATTCTCACAATAAAACAAATAAGACTTTCATCAGAAGAAAAAATATTATCAGACAAGGTGAAAATGTCCTTGCTCTGTTAAACATCATTTGGAAAATATTTAAAAAAGAAAACAATATTCAAAGGGGGGCTAATAATTCTGACTTCAACTGTATATATAAACTATAGTATTCAAATGAGGAATAACGTGAGGTGATAAAAAAAAATGTCATAATTTTCTTTGGGTGAACAAATCCTTTAAATGTATTTTATGGTACATACCTCATTTATCTCTTTTGCTTCATCTCTCTCCCTCAACCTGCTCTTTTCTTTTCTCTTTCTCTCCTTTGCTGTATTATATTCTCCATTTTTTATCCTAACCTCAGTCAGTGGTAAAGAGAGGCCTTCTGCTGGCCTCCTCTCCCGACCAGCGTCTACCACTGTCCATATACCTGACCTACCATCACGTCCACCTTTACCCACTCCACCTAGTCCAACCCCTCGCACCATGCCCTCACCCGCCCGCACCAGACCTCCACGTCCACCACCTATTGCCCTGCCACAGGCTCTACCTGACCCCCACACAGAGCAAAACACTGCCGGTTCACTCCCTCCAGCATTGCCTAAAATCTTCCAGCCCTCCCCTGGCTCAGGTACCACAATACAGTGTAGTATAGTGGTTCTGTCAACAATCTTCTTTTCTGATGAAAGCAGGACAATAACTACACTTGTTTACTTGGTCAGAAAGATCTGTATTTAGCAAGGAGATGCATTACAAAAGAAAAATGCATTAGTTAGGAATTTTTATTTTTATTTCTGTTCATCATAGGATCCTGAATTTGCTTTTGCATCATTTAGACAAACTAAATTATGCATCAATAATTCTGACAATTCTGAATTGATTATTATTTGTGATATTATGGAAAACAACCCTCTTGCTTGTGTGATGATACTTAATTATAGCTTATTGATAAAAAAAAAAAAACAAGAAACCCATAGAGGAACTCTTCTTTGCTTTCGAAACGTATTATTATACGGCTTTAACACACTGATCGCCTTTAGACTTTTAAGACATGTTTTTGTTTTTGCACAGATAGTGTGTGACATACTTGATAATGTCAGCTTGCATTTTGCTAAAACAACAATTGTGATAGAGTCATGCAGGTTGATTAAATTGCAATCTGTAATTTTACATGCTGTTTTGATAACTATGGCGTGCTTCTACTTGTGTATGTGGTGCAAAAGAAATTGTTGCGTAGAACTGAGAAGTGAAATTCACTATGGCCACACGCACACTGGACAGTATAAGAGTCACAACGATTCAGTTAAAAAGAATGACAGCTGTGTTTTGCAGCTGTGTGTGCGTGTGTGCATGCGTGTGTGTGTGTTTTTACAAAAATTAATGTTCAAAATCTAATCTGTTTTTGCTGTTGCCACAGAAGAACCATTTTGGTTCCCCAAAAAATCTTTTAGTAAACAGTTCTAAAAAACTATATTTTTTTAGTGGGAAAAACATTTTAAAAACTAAACAATGTTTTTTTTTCACTCAGAAGAACATCTATATGTCTAAATGGTTCTATAGATGTTTTCATGAATCCATTAATGCCAGTAAAAAAACAACATTATATAATAGTGTAACAGCACTTATGCATCTGTGTATTTCTAAACCAAGCCTATTGTTTCTCCATCTGCTTTCCCCTCTGTGATTGTGTCCAGCTCCAGTGTCTTTCCCAAGAAGGCTATCGGGCTCTGAGGGGCCTCCAGAGGGCCCCGTGACCTCTGATTATCCTCTGCTCAAACTCCCTCGGGCTTCTCTGTCTTCTCCATCGGATCCTTTCCTCCCTCAGCCTCCCTCTCCTCCTGATGTACTTGTGAAAGGTACAGAGTTTTTACTGTTTACTGTACATCTGTTTCTGATTTGACGCTGAATGAAACCTGAAGATGGCTTTGGGGAAGAATCGTTTCCTCTTAGTTTCCCTTAAGTTCTCACTTTTCTTGCCTCTCTGACTAATCCTCTTCTTTTACGTGGTCTGCGTCCTTTTTTGTGTCACTGAACTTTTGCCTCAGATTCTTTTGGAGCACCTCGTGCCAATGTTTTTAAGCCCAAGATTGTGCCCGGTGCTCGCCCTGTTTCCCCCACGCCAGTCCCCTTCCTCGAGCCCAAAACCTCCTCGCTCTCGCTCTCGGACACGCTTAAGCGTCCATCTGCTGGCACTGTGCCAGGTATTGAGACATCCTCCAGACTGCATGGAAACAGATGTAGTGTTACTAAAGTGCAATCACACTTAATGAAATATCATAAACACAATTGTTCACATTCACCAAGTCGTCACCTCAGAATTATAAGGTTCTATCTGCGTTCTAAATGATTTTGTGATATTGAGCTTCAAAGGTTTTGCACTCCATATAGCAAACAGTATGTGTGTAACAGTTCTGTTTCACACATTAACATGACAGAGGCCCTAAAAGTTCTCTAATTGTAAATGATTAAATTTCTCTTACATTTGCAAATTGGAGTAAAAGAAACAGGGCAAATGCAGATAGAACCTTCTAAATCTATTAAGACATTTTCTGCTTGTAATTGTAAGGTTCTATCTGGCAGATCATTCATTGAAGCATTACTTTTCAAGATTACAATTAGTCTGCTGATTCATTTAATAAAAAAATGGGTGTTGTAACAATATGTTGATGCTTGAGAAAGTTACATTTTTGCTTTCTATCACATTGATTTAATGTTTTAGGATTAATTTTTTCCTTGTTCAAATTAACCATACAAGACTGTCCTAAATGTTTTGTCTAGTGCAGATGTTAATTTTATGTTTGTAATATGCCAATATTTATTGACTTTCATGCTTTATATGAATTATTGAATTATATTTATTGAATTATTTGCCCCGTGAATTAAATGAAGCATTTACCCTTCAATGCTTAATATCAAATTTAAAGACTTTAAAAAAAAAACAATGAGCAAAAGAGTTGTTTAACAAAGTTTAATAATCACTGCAAATGTTTCACTGACTGTACATATACTTATAAAAATATTACACAATTAATATATTACATTTTTTAGTACCTGTTTCTTTTTCAACAATGTAAAATTTAACATTTCATATCAAAGTCAGAAATTGTTTTAAAATCATCACATTTGCACACATATTCAGCTTCAGGGTTCTTCTTAATTCTGTGTTGTGCAGCATTATTTAGTCGACTGATTTTGTGTTTTTTTCTGGTCTTTCTTGCTGTCAACGGAGCCGTCCTGATTGCAATTAAAATACTGAAAAAGAAAGAACCTTATAGAGCCAAGCTAGAGTTCATTTGTTTATCCATTTGTTTTTTAAAATGTAAAAAGCTTATAAAAAAATCACATGATGTAAATAAGATTTCATTGAATAAAAATATGGGAATACCTTAATTTTGACAAAAATGTCAGACAGATCCTTATATTTCTAAGGTGACAAAATGTTCATTTAATATAAATAAATATTTTGTTTTTTTACACTTTAATCATTATTCATAAAATGTTAATTATTATTATTATTTTAACAGCATTGTTTGTTGACAATAAAAAATATACATTTTTAGGGGGGAACTTTTAAGACTTGATTTAGTGCATAGGCATTTTTTGTTTTATATATATATATATATATATATATATATATATATATATATATATATATATATATATATATATATATATATAACATAACTTGTACACTAAATGACATTTCTGTAAATTGTAAATGCTTTGAAAGTACATGATAGTCGTGCATTTTAGTTAAAAATATATATATATAAATAGAAAGAACATGTCCAAATACTTGGTCGAACTGATTTTACAGTTGAATTAAACCTTGCTTTGTTGCTTAAAAACCAAAGTTTCTCTTGAACCCATGTGCATATATGTTCTTTCTCTTTCTCAGATCTAAATGAACAGATGACGGCAGTGTCTGCATCTCCTTTTTTCACTGTCTCTCTAAATGAATCTGTGACCCCTGTTCCTCTGCTAAGCAAACCAGACCTTGAAGCCTTGTGCGAAACCCGTTATTCTTCTGGTCAATTTCCCAAGCCACCTTCACCTTCCTCCCTCTCCTTCCCACTGCCAGTCACTTTTACCCCAGCAGTTTCTTCCTCTTCTCTTCCTATCTTGTCCACTGATGCCCTCGCATCTGCCCCCTGCTGTTCACCACAATCTTCTTCGGCTCAGTCAGGTACTATCGCTTGCTTTAAAAATAAGAACAAGCTAAAAAATAACTAAAAATAAAAAGTGATTTATGCATTTTAGTTGGTTATTTACATATTGGTGTTTGGTGCCTAACAAACATCAAACTATCGCAAATGGGTTTTAACATGCATTAAGTGTATTTTTAAAAATGATACCGCTTTCATCTTTGAGTAAATTACACAAACATGATTTGTGAAAATCGTGACATTATTTGCATGTGCAGAAAAAGTTCATACGTGGCCTCTCCCAAATATAAGTGTCTTTTCTTGCCATTAATGGCTGGATAAAAGTAATGGCTAGTGCTGTGGTTGCTATACATACACATGTATACTTACTAACATCTGTCAGCATAATTTGTGGAAAGACTTGCTCTGAAAATTTTTTTTTACCCACACAACATTGGTTAAAAGCTGTCATTTTGTGATATAGTTTATTGACTTTTGGAAAATATTGCAAATGTTTGCCACAAATCTGAAACCAGTCTTATAGTGGACTACAGAACCGGATGCGAGCAGGTGCATAGTGCTTCTTTGAAAGTTGCACCACACTGTAGAAAGCTAATAGTTACTTTACTTGTGAGTAAAGTAAATGTGAGTAAACCCATTGTAACTTGTATTTTGTATTATATATAATTATCCACATAGTAATTTACTTTAAGGCAAAGTGTTTACTTTCCGCTTTAAAAACTGATTGCTTACCAATAGGTTTGCTCAAATGTTTTAACGAAAGTCAACTACTTGTTTTTTTACAGTGCCAAGTACTACTCCTAATACTGCCGTTACAAATAATACAATTTTAGTCCGTTTTTTAAACATTTGTTTAGCTGTATCCTAAATTTAATCTCTATCATTTTGGGTTTGTCTTAAATAAAGCAAATAAAGATGTTTTGTCATGTTGTTCTGGATAGTCCCTTCTATTTAGTAAAACAAATGAATGAAAAAAAAATTAAATTTCCTAAAAATTTTATGATGATATATATATATTTCAAAAATATTTTATTACCTGTTTTTTCAAGAGTTCACACTTAGATATTGCTTGATAATAATAGCAGGTTTGGGATGCTGTCCTGGAAGAGAACCATGAGCTCGTAGATAATTGAGCCCAGGGCTCCCATCTGGTTGATGAGCATGTAATTAGAGTACGAGATCAGGTGGTTCTTGAGAGCTCCTCCTGGTAAAGGAGGAAAGGAGGAGATGGGGTAGATGGAGGTGTTTCTTTTGAAAACGAAGATAAGGGAGTAGTTTTAGCTTGGCTACTTATAGTAAGTTTGGATAAATCTGATTGGCTAACTATTGATTGTAGATGAGAAACCAGCAGTGATCAATCATATCACGTGCTCCTCTCAAAATTAGTTTGTGAAACTTCACTTAATGAATATTATTTGATTTTCAGATTTACCCAGAGAGCTCAACACACTTACAGAGGAGGATCAAACAAATCCATTTCTACAAGGTGAAAAAGTATTACAATATATAACTGTCTAGCTACACCATTTCTTCACACTCAAGTAGTTCCTTCCTTCTGATGAACACAAAACAAGATATGGTAAAGAATGTTAAGAAAAAGCATGCATTAGTAGTAACATCCATAGTAGGAACAATATATCCTATAGAAGTAAATAGCATTTTATCCAACATTCTCCAGTATTCCTTTCTTTGTGTTCATCAGAAGAAAGAAAATCAAACAGGTTTTGAACAAGTATAGAGTGAGTAAATGATGGCAGCATTTTCATTTTTGGGTAAATATCCCTTTAATGATGAAAATATTCAGAAAATATGGTTCTGATTCAGTTTGTGTCATGTTTTACAGATATTCTTGCTGAAGAAGCGAAGAACTCTGAACCTAAAAACGAGCAGCATCACTCATCTCGGACTGTCAGCAGCATTAGCATTGCCAATCAACAAGTATCTTCTTCGCTCTCTCAACCTGAAACCAACAGCACAGAAAGAAAAGAGCTCAGACCTGCCATGGCTGTAAAAAGGTGAGCATTTAAATATTGGTTTTATGTTTTGTCATGAAGTACTTTACTAAAATCAGACTTTATTTATGAATGTTTGTTAGTCTTCATATGATCACAATTAAAGGTATAGTTCACCCAGAAAAAAATGTACTCACTATTTATGCACCCTCAAGTAATTTCAAACCTTTATGAGTTTCTTTTCACAAAAGATGTTATTTTGAAAAATGCTTGAATCTTGTAACCATTGGCAACCATAATAGAAAAAAAACAAATCCTATGAAAGTTAATGGTTACAGATGCACCAGCAGACGCACCAGCAGAGAAACTTTGCGAGTACATGTCTAACACTAACACTAACCCCAATCTAACAGTCTGCTTATAATCTAATGAGAATTAGTTGGCATGTAGATGCAATGTAACTTAAATTCAACAAATGGACCATCAAAATAAAGTGACAAAATATTTTTGTGTTGCACGACATAACGCTAAGTTCCAACTAAATATTTACAGCAGCATCACTCACCTGGGGCCTCATGTATCAACGCTGCGTACGCACAAAAACTTTGCGTACGGCAGGTTTCACGCTCAGAATCGCTCATGTTCGGATTTACTAACGATGAAATGAACGCGAGAATGTGCTTTGTTCCACGCCAACTTCATGCCTGGCGTACGCACATTTCTTGTGCGTGTCTGTTTTATTTCTATTGGCGACTCCTAGAGGCAGTTGTGTCTTTGAGCAGTGCAATGGCAGCTGTATGAAATTCTATTAATCGCATGTCTAGCAGGTATATAAGGTTTCTGTACCATGCGGTTGACCAGCCAAACATTAAAGCACAATTTGCAGCGTTCGCCGTTTTTCCCAATGTAATCGGGGCAATCTACTGCACACACATTGCTATATAAAGATGCCATCTGAAGACGAATTTGTATACGTGAATCAGAAACATTTCCATTCAATAAATGTGCAAATAATATATGATGCACAGACTTATTAATGATTCCTACTTGTCTTCCTCATGATGAAGAGTATAGGCAAAATCTGATATACAGCGGGCGAAAAAAAAACTATGAGTTCATCAGACGCTGGATTCGAACCGAGTTTATGCTCGAACGTGTCAAAACGTTACCATGCGTTTTACGAGCTACACCACTCATGCTGTTAAAGACGCTGCAAAATTTTACACCTATATATCGCACTATGTCTTTTTTAATCCACTCAGTGCGATGTTCAGACCCAACTGTGTTATCCGCATCAGCTAAACTCTCTCACTCAATTTTTTTCTTTTGTTATTAATTCCGGAGGACAAACTTGCAAATAACACCGCTTTTCTCCGGTCTATCTCCGAAAGCAGCGCCTCCAATTTACATTCTGTTCAAAGTATCTCTTTTTGCTTGCTATTGCCATTGCTTTTTCCTTTGGTTTTGCCAAAGTAGAGCCATTCGCATATTCATATGGGGGAGGAGGCAGGGAGGGGTTTTGCGCTTGTGCATGTGCGCTCAGTTTCACGTTAATTCGGATTTACGAAGAGAATATGCGTGGGATTAAGCGTACACAGTGTTTCATACATCTGAATTTTTATCTGCGTACACACATTTACAGCTTTGTGTGTACGCAATGTTTTAGTATGATTTCAGCGCAAGTCTTCGTACATGAGGCCCCTGATGTATAATGGTAGAAAAGAGATGACAGCGAGAATAGTTTACATAGAAAAGCTCGCGATGATAATGAAGAATGATCTCCCTCTACTCTCAGCCTTAATTTCCTCCCAAATCTCGCATTTTTCGGTTTGTGAAAGAAAAGTTTATGATATGAAGAATTAATTGATAACTTTATGTGTTTTTCATGTGCATTTATGGCTGACGATGCAGGTATGTGCATCGTCTGTTATTAGTGACTGACTGTAATGTAATGCACTATAAAAAAATCTCATTTGTCATTTCATTTTTGTAGGACAGTTATATATAGATGCATTAGTTCCGGAATTTTAAAGCAGTTTAATGATTGAATATTACATCATTAATATACTACGCATGACTTTACAGGGAGCTTATGACTACTGACTACAGTTTGCCTTAAAAACATGTGGTGCAACCGAAGTACGAAAAAATTTAGTTACAAACTAGCTAGTAGTTACTAAGGCTCTTGTGTGGACTTAACGTTCCAGTTAGAACGGTCGGTCACACTTTATTTTGGTCCGTTTGCTGAATTTAAGTTACATTGCATCTACATGCCAACTAATTCTCATTAGATTATAAGTAGACTGTTAGTTTGGGGTTAGGGTTAGTGTAAGTTGACATGTACAAGTCATCATCCTATCATAAACAGACCAAGACATTTGCCTACACCATCCATCCTCCATAGCTTCCCCTCAAAACTCCAATCCTGCATTAATCCTGCTTGTCCTGTTTTCACCACTAACATTGATGCATCGCAAATATGGAAAACCTGCATCTAACCAACCATTCCAACCATGCTCTGTGGACTCTTACCCAACATTTTGCCACATTTGACACCAAATATCTTTGTCTCCCAGTCTTGGTCTTGAATCATCATCAGGAGGACAGCCTGTGGAAACTTCCGGATCTGAGGAACTGGACATTAGGACTGCTCCTTCTCCTCAGCCATTCTCAAGTCCAGAAACAACACCTCTTTCATCTGCAGTTTCCTCTCAAATGGAGAAAAAACAGCCAGTTTTTATTGCAGAGAAACCACCATTGGCTGAGGAAGAGCCGGATTTTAAAGTGGCTGATTATGATAAAGTGATCATGACCTCTCAGCCTCTCATCAAAGACATTACATTTGAGAAACAGCCTGAGAAAGAGCCCCTCAGAACTGACAGTGAAAAACAAATGCAGTCCAGTCAGGTTCAAACTTTTTCACTAACCACTGATGACTTACTGAAGAAAACAGAAAGCACAAAAAATGACTCAGCAGAGGAAGTTGTTTTGAAAGAGGAACCGAATGAACTGAAGGGTACTTTACTTTGTGCCGACCTCAACAAGTCAGACGAGGACAAAATCATCAAGAAATTTGCCTCCGCTTTGGTTACCAATTTAGAGCAAAATGCTCCCAACGTATTATCTAGTTCATCACAAGATGATCATAAGGAAAAGACTCAAGTGTTGATGGAAGAAGTCCTTACATCTAATACCAGTGGGAATTTGAGAGAAAAACAATCCCATAAAGATGATCTGGACAAGAATTTAATAATTGAGGAAAGGTGAGTTTGTTGTGTTACACTCCCAAATACATGAACTTTCCGGTTTTCAGCCACTTCCAGTTTCAGGTATCCCATATCTGTCCTCGAATGAAGCTTATTTGAATAGTTAAGCTTATAAAACTCACTTCAGTGTCATGAATAGCAACTGTTCTATAGATAAGGCATTTGACTGGTGCAGTATGAACAGATAGGTTTGTGTATCTTCTCCCTCAACCGCAGAACTATACTTATGTAGAATTACATCATCCACATCAATTCTCCAGAAGCTTCCTGAAGTCCCTGATATACTTCAAGTGAAATCGAAAGACAAAACTCAGGCCAAAACAAAGTTTGTTTTGAATTTCTTTCAGGAGTTTAAAACAGCTTGCTAAATCCTTCTGGAAAAGTTAACTTCAGCTAGTACACATATACAGTACAGAGTACTAATAGACCATGGCAGTTGTATTGAATGTATTAAGTGGATGTGACTCCACTTTTATAAACTTGGAAGGTTTCTCTAGTGTGTTTTTTTTCAGTCAGGCTAAATTTAGGTTAGGTGTCATTATGTTCTTTAGATGGGGACAACAACACTAATATTATTAATAATATTTTTAAAACTGTCATGCAATTGACATGCACATTGTAGCTTGACTTGTAACTTGATTTGAGAATTCCAGACGTAAATTATTTTTTAATAACAAAACTAGTACATTTGTAGTTCATCATGCACAAGAATAATAATAACCTCATTACCATACTGAAAAAATTGAAGCCTAGCTCTATGTTTCTATGAAATTTGTTATAAAAACTTTTAAACACATTTAAAATTTGATATGAATATCCCATGCACCTTTTGCTTGTTACATTTCTGGTTTGTTAACTACTGTAAAACCATGATCATGGTGATTATTTAAAAGAAAAGCATTCTATGTTATTGCACGTTGTTATCAAGGTTGTGGAAAATAATGGCACAGCTTCATTTATTAATTCAATTGTGATTTGCATCAGAGAGCTCCGTAACAATCTCAAACAAATGCAAAATGTGACCATTTAGTCACAGTCTGGAGGCCTATATGAGTAAAACACTGAGTACTTTTACATGGACACTAATTATCTAATTTTAATACAATTAAGACAATATTCTGATTAAGACTCCACCTTGTAAACAACGATTTTTTATTAATTTAATTAGATTAAAGAACATATTCTAACTAAACAGAAATCGAATTAAGACATGTGGAGTATGCAGATTTTATTTGCATAATTGTAGTGCAGCACAGACATGTAAACACCTTAATCAAACTATTACAGTCATGTCGGACTTGTCGCTGCATCTTGTGACAGGATAGTCTATACACACATGGCTGTTTGACCGAACATTATAAAGCTGCACCTACTGAGTCAGTAAAGGACCACAGACATACACATCATGAAATGCAGAGGTTTTTTTTTCTTTCTATTGGCCGTGCAGTATCAAACACCATTAAAACAACATTCTTCTAGCAGTCCTTACTTCACACGCTCATCTAGTACCTCACACAGGGGGCATGAATAAAGTGTTCCTGAATGAAAGGGAAACTGCCGGACTGCAGTTAAAGTAAAAAAAATAAATAATGAAACACCTGAAAATCAGGAAACTCCTATGGAAAGGTGGATAGCGTGGTGATGTAATGGCTTTAATCGAACTATGTGCTATAACATGTAAAACGGGATCATGAAAGGAACATTCAAAATGCAATTCAAGTAAACACCTTAGTTATATTATTGTCTTATTCAGAATAGGGCAAATAATTCAATGACTGATGTCCATGTAAACGTAGTCAATGTCTTGACTTTTCTTTACTAAATGCTCCTTTCTCTTTGTTTCTTACAACATTTTTTTCTTTCTGTCTCTTTTTCTTTCTTTTCTTCAATGCACTTAGTCAAAATGAAATGGCCTTCACTACACCTGAATGTCCTAGCGTTAGTCTCTATCCGGCTGCCCATATTAAATTATATCAGCCTAAAGAGCTTCCTCTCATTCATTCCCAATCCCTGGACCTCCAAATTCTTAAATGCATCCCAGAACAAGCTCCAGCAGTCAGTGAACCTGCCAAACCAGAGCTGATTGTGAAGGAGTCAGACAACACAGTGTTGGAGTTCCCGTCAAAGGCCCAAGCCGAAGTACCAATCTGGAGTTGTCTGGAAGAGAAAGTACAAGATCAAGAGGATACATTGAGAGATGAGGAGATACATGAGCACAAAACACCTCAGAAAATGCCAAAGTTAGAAAATGAATCCTCAAAAAAGTCTTTAGAATCAGGGTAAGAGATATTTTGATCGTCTCTAATGATGGACCATGATTAAATTCTAGCATGTTTTGCATGAGTTTTGCCACACAACATTTTAAGTGTGTTTTGGGGTGTTTGTATACTCTCAACTATTAACAGGAGAGTGGGATTTGGCAAGCCATACAAACTGAAGATTTGGATATAAGCTTCTGATACTGGCTTCATATTTGCATTAGTGTTATAATAGGCAAATATGTGTGAATAGATACTCGTTATTGCATGCTTTGGTCAAAACAAGGTAGGTAAAGAGTGACATAAACCCTATTCCTTACCTCACAGAGATGAAAAAGCAGTTTCTGAGGATGCTGAGAATTGTATTTTAAGTGAACCAGTGTCCCAGCAGCCACTACCCTCCATTGTCCTTAAACCACAGCCATCTGAGTCTGTTAAGGAGAAGAAAATAGAAGCTGTTAAAGTCAGTATACCGGTCCGTATGAAGCCTGCGCTTCCTGTGATCTCCCCTGCTGCTTCTGTAAAGGGAAAGGACAACAGGACATCGCTACATCTGGAGGAACTTTGCCCTATGACGCCCAACCAGTCTCTGGATACAGAGTCCTACGGAAATAGTTTAAGGAAAAAGGTCACGTTTGAAGCAGAAAGTGTGTTGTGGGCCACAGTAGAAGAGAAAACAAAAGAAAACAGTGATGAGGGTGTAAGCTTGGGCGAGTTGAAACTGGAGAAGGAGGTTCTGGATAAGGGGTAAGTTAACCCCCGAGGCATGGAGTTTTGTGGAGACTATTGGGGATTGCATGCTTTGCAAGAACTACTGTTTAAACGTCAAGGCTGATTTATGCTTCTGCGTCAAACGCCGGCGTATGCTACGGCGCTGATGCATAGCCCTTCGCCGTCGGCGTCGCTGACGTGCACCTCTCAAAAAATGTAACTACACGTCGCAACGACACGTAGCGCAAGCTCTGTGATTGGTCGGCTTGGTAGCGCTGATGAGTTTGGGCGGGACTGAGAGCCGTGTGAATGGTGCGAGCCTGATAGAGCGATTTGTTTACAAGTGTGGAGTCCCGTGAAGGAGCTCCGGATCGAAAGTTTTGTTTTGAGTTTACCTCATAGTTAAAGTTGTTGCACGTCCACCGGCTCCTGCCTCAAAATGAGCGAGTTTGAGCCACTTGTACATCCCGGAAGTGTTCAGGAAAAGCAAAACAGCAGCGAAGAAACTCGACACAGAGGAACATTTACACCTCACTGCCAACTAGCATTTCGGAAGTGTTAATGCAGATCAACAGTGACAGCGCACAAAAGTAAAAATGCACAGCTACGCGCGTTGCATGCGCCGTGGGTTACGCCGGGTATACGCAGAAGTATAAACCAGGCTTTAGGGGTCAGTGGAAGTTTTTTGCTTATTTGTAAAAAACGAACATGTTCCAGACCCCAAACTTTTTTAACGGTTGTGTATGTTGATATTTTTAATAATTCAGCATCACATCATCAATCTATCAGTTCATTATGCCTGAGCTTCTAATGCATCTCTTGAAATAAGCATTTGTTTTACTTGCTGGGAGGGGGAGAATTTTGATGATCAAAGGTTATTCTTGTCACTTAAACCTTTTGGTTCATGGCAGCCAACTTGGCCAGAAAACATCAGAAATCAAGTCTGAGGAGCAAGACGATTCCTTCATTTCCACTCATAAAAACACTAACCAAGAATGCCAGAAAATAGAAAAGACAATAGACAAGGATGATTCAGATGATAAGCAGATGGTGAAAACCGACAGTGAGACTATTTGCACAGCTCAAGCTGAACTTGAAGATGACCTGAAGACTGTAGATGTGTGTTCAGAGACCCAACTCAGCCATGACCTGGATGTGAAAACTGACAAGTACCTGGGCACCAGCAAACAGGAGCATGACTCTGATCAAGAGGATGTATCTGTAGGCTTCATACGGGGGATTTTTGGTGTCCTTTATAAAGGGTAAGTGGGATGGATGTGAGATTTGTGGAGTTTCCTTTGACTTGGCATCTGCATGGCTTTATTTTGAAACATAAATGTTGTCATTGTGACCATGCATTTGCAAGAAAGCTTTTGCATCTAGTGTTAGGGTGTCCTATAGCAGAGAGAGGCATAGCCTGCTTGTTTGATGAAATAGTAACTAGTACTGGCTTTTTGTGAACGGAAACTATTGGTTCAATGTAATTATGTCATCTAAATATCCTCATCCTTTAGTTATGAGACTGTGACGTCTATACTACAGCAGCCAAGCGAAGCAGAAACAGATGTTCAAGATGACCCAATCTTGGACAACCAAGATGGACCCGTGGTTGAAATTCTTCCTCCCGAGGCCTTCTGCGACACCAAAATTAAGCATGCAACTGTCGATGAGCCTCAGGAATACCTGTTCAAGGATTTGTTGCCATCTGGCGAGTTACAGATAGATATACAGACCTCCGAGCCTGTGGCCATGAGCCTGGTGGAGTGCCTAAAACTGGCTGCCAGAGAAACTCAAACCAGATCCGTTAATGATAAAGAAAGCCCTTCAGAACAGAAAACAACAAATGTGAAGTCTCAAATAATGACGCCTAAACAAAGCATGACAGTAGATTTGAAACCTGAAATTGTGGTGTCAAATGAAGAAAAGAAACCTCTGGAAACCACACAAGAAGACATAACTGTTAAGGAAGAAGTGCAAAACATCAACATTGTGGAAACAGATGGTTTGGTGGCCAACGTTAAGGAGATACAAATACAAGAAAACTCAGGAAGAAATGAACACGAGAAACTTCAGCACAGCAAGAAAACAGCAGTGGATTTAAGGCCTTTAACGGCGTCAGAGGGGTCACAGGAAGAGCTGGAGTTTGAAATGGGTCAGGAAGACTTAGGGACAGTGTGGTCTGCTGATCTATATATGGACGGAGGGTAAGTGCATGGGACGTTTTCTCTGCCTGCACTGCCCTCATTTTTATTACCCTCCTTACCTGAACGGCACGATTTTGGCAATGTTCCGTCTGGCTGACAGGAGTTGCATTACGTTATTCGTATCTGTCTGTGACGAGGGCTGATGTGACTGTGGATTTTTTTCAAGCTGATATATATGTTGTGGGTTTGTGTTTTCAGTGTCTTTTAAATGTGTCTTGTGTCCTATGATCAGCAAGTCTTTTAAGAAATGGGTCGGGATACGCTCGGCTCGGTCTGTTGGCATTTCTGTGTGATGTTTGCATGTTCTCCTCGTGTTTGCGTGGGTTTCCTATAGGTGCTCCGGTGTCCCCCGCAAGTCTAAAGACGTGGTTTAGGTAAATTGAGTAGGCTAAATTGTCCATAGTGTATGTGAGTGAATGAGTGTGTATGGATGTTTCTCAGTAATGGGTTGCAGCTGGGAGGGCATCTGCTGCGTAAAACTTATGCTGGATAAGTTGGCAGTTCTTTCCACTGTGGCAACCCTGGATTATTAAAGGGACTAAGCTGAAAAGAAAATAAAAGAATGAATGAATGAATGAATGAATGAATGAATAAATTCGACAGGACCACTTGCTTAAGATTGACCACAGCTGGTCCCGCATTAGATAACACATGATTCACTAATCAGACAATTCCTTACTATAAATAACCAGAGTTTCTTACTGCAGTTATCTTCATCTTGAAGAACCCCCCCCCCCTTTTTTTTTCTAGAACATGGCTGCGACACGACGGCTTAGTGATTAGCACTGTTGCCTCACAGCAAGTCACTGGTTAAAAGTCCCTACTGGACCAGTAAACATTTCTGTGTGGAGTTTGCATGTTCTCTCCGTGCTCAAGTGGGTTTCCTCGTTTCCCCCGACAGTTCAAAAACATGCGATTATAAGTCAATTGACTATACCAAATTGACACTATATACTACTTACTAAGAGCTCGTTTAGCTATCACTATAATCTGTCATTAGCCATAAACGAGCCAGGGGAGTTCATCAAGATCTACCTGAACTCAAACTCCCATCCTGCTCTACAAACTGGAGGGAGCCCAGGGCTTGGGGATCTTATAAGCTCAGGGCTTTTGCCCAGGACAGCATGCCAAACTTAGCTCTATAATCAATCAATCAGTGTTGTATAATCAAAGCATCATCAAGGCATCAGAAAGCTTAATTGTAGACACCTCAGAAAGACCACAAGATGTAAACGTCAATGAGGATGTTTCTCCAAGAAGCTCAGTGGTTCCTTGGCCATTTCCTTCTCCTAAACTTAAAAGACACCTAGAGACTTCTAAAAGCACAGATAGTTCAAGTGTAAAGAATGATGACCAGTCGAATGAAAGTGTTCTGTTAGAAAAGATCCGTCAAATGGCAGAAGATGAAGTGGCTAAACCAGCATCTACTCCCCCACATGCTAAAATACGCTTGACACCCTGCAAATCTGATGTCGGGGGATTCATCAAGATCTACCTGAGCTCAAACTCCCATCTCGCTCTACAAACTGGAGGGAGCCCAGGGCTTGGGGATCTTATAAGCTCAGGGCTTTTGCCTAGGACAGCATGCCAAACTTAGCTTTATAATCAATCATCAGCTAAGTGTGAACTCTTGAAAATTCCCTTAGTGTTGTTTTGAATTATTTACATTCATAAATTAATCCTTTCTTCCTCAAAATATTAAGCAACCAAAATTATTTTGACACTGATAAAAAATACCAAGAAATGTTTCAAATAGATTTATTAGAATTATTCATGAAGGACCTTGTGACACTGAAGACTGGAGTAATGATGCTGAAAATTTTCTTATCATAGGAATAAACTATTTTATTGACGGGTTGATTAACATTTCACAACATTACAATTTTGTTTGTTACCATTTTAATAATCATTGTGTTTCTTTAACATTTCTTTGGTGAGACTTTTTCCATTTTTCAGAAACACTGAAAAATGTTACCAACACCAAGCTTTGGAGTAGTATTGTATATATGATGAGCATGAAATACATGGTGTTGGTTTTTTTTGTAATAGGGCAGGCTTTGATTTTGGGCTCTCTGTGGTTTTTCAAACAGGACTGAACAGCAATTTCACAGCTTGTTTGTCTATTTTGCAACTGCACGCTTGCAAAATACGTGTCGCACCAACTGTGGGCTAGCACTGCTCTTTGTAGCCCCTTGCTGGAAGTGATTGTGCCTTTTCACATAATTGCATTTTAACTGAAAACCCTTTGCACGCTATAATAATATCCAACTTGGTAAGATACAACATTTTGATATCATGTTCTGGTGTCCTGTTTCTCACAGACCAGACGAATCCTCAATACCACGAATACTAAGAGATTTCCCACCCACACAAATGCTGAAATCACCTCAGACTGTCTTTCCACCAGAATCAACATTGTCAACATTAAAAGACACTGCACCAATGGAGGCAATTTCCCAATCTGCAAGCAAAGTTGACCCTCCCTACCAAGACGAGAGTACACGGTCTCTACCGCCAGTTCCTTTACAGGAAGTCGGCCCTGATGCCATAAATCCTGATGTTAGTTTTGCAGCCGCTCCACAGTGCGATGAAAGGCTAACCACTTTATCACACATAACTACAGAAACAGCAGCTGCAAACACTGAAATATGCAAAGATAATGCAGAAGAGACAAGTAGTAATAACTTGTCACCACTTGAGGGCAACATTACCAACACTACATGTATAATCAACACTGAAATTGAAAAACAAACCATCGTCAAGGCATCAGAAAGCTTAATTGTAGACGCCTCAGAAAGACCACAAGATGTAAACGTCAATGAGGATGTTTCTCCAAGAAGCTCAGTGGTTCCTTGGCCATTTCCTTCTCCTAAACTTGAAAGACACCTAGAGACTTCTAAAAGCACAGATAGTTCAAGTGTAAAGAATGATGACCAGTCGGAGGAGAGTGTTCTGTTAGAAAAGATCCGTCAAATGGCAGAAGATGAAATGGCTAAACCAGCATCTACTCCCCCACGTGCTAAAATACGCTTGATACCCTGCAAATCTGATTTTGAACTCCCTCCAACTCCACCTCTACAACTTAAATCCAGCATGAAAACGCCCGTAGATGAGATACAGATACATTTAGATCAGACAAAAATCACAAATCCACCTTCAGTGATTTTCCAGGAGCAAACAGACGAGGAGATTAATAACAGTCAGTCTCAGACTTCATCTGCACCAATGGAGAGTTTTACGTTAGATGACAGACAGAAAGAGGAAAGTGCTAATAATGCGGTTTTAGATGACAACGTCCTGTTAAACAAGCGAGAACCAAACATCCAGCTGGAATGCGTAGCAGCAGAAGGGGAGCGCCAAGATACGTCAGCTGCTGAGCCCACAGAGAACGCAGAAACACAAACTAAAACTGAGAAAGAGGAACAACTAGATTTAAGTGTTGATAGAAGTGAAGAGACTCAAATGGAGCTGGATAAACCACCATCTCCTGTGCCTGATGAATTGTAAGTTTGAGTGGTGTGTAAAAAGTACAATTCAGTTTTATTTTACCATGTTGTTTTGTTGGAACTGAATGTCGTCAATGGTTCACACATTTTTTTATGTTTACTAATGAGTAATATACTCATAACAGAGTTCTTTTTCATGCTTAATTTAGTTGTAAAAAGAAGTTCAACGATGCCGTTCATGCTTCTGAGCGATGTCAATATAATTACTACCTGTTTCGTTCAATTTGCATCACATTAATTTATTTTATGATTTCTCTTTTAAGCATACTGATGCCTTTTTGTTCACAAAGTCAATTTATTTGATCAAAATGTAGCATGATATTGTTAAATGTATATATTTTTTATTCTTTTATATATATATATATATATATATATATATATATATATATATATATATATATATATATATATATATATATATATTGTTTTAATAAAACAATGTCTATTTCTATTTGTGATGGTATGAAGCAGTGTTTCTCAACCACATTCCTGGAGGACCACCAACACTACATGTTTTGGATGTCTCCTTTGTCTGTCACACCAATTACAGGACTTTCAATCTCTGCTAATGAGCTGATGATCTGAATCAGGTGTGTTTGGTTAAGGAGACATGGAAAATGTGCAGAGCTGGTGGTCCTCCAGGAACATGGTTGCACTTGCATAAAGCATAATCACTACAGTCTTCAGTGTCACTTGAACCTTCAGAAATAGTTGATAAATGATGTTTGATGCTCAAGATAGAAAATATATTACATCACAATGTATTATCGACAATTATTTTGGAAAGCATTTTGGTGGAAACTAAAAATATGTTGCAAGTTTTCTTTTGTGAATACTGCATGAATACAGCACACACAGGTGCTGGCCATATAATCAGAATATCTTTAAAAAATTGTTTTATTTCACTAATTCTATTCAAGGAATGACAACTTGTATAATGAGTACATTCATTCCACACAGACTGGTATATTTGTATTTCTTTTCATTTTGATGACAACTAATAAAAACTCAACCCCAAACTCAGCAGCAGTCCAGTATTTAGCCCAGGTGAGACGATTCTGACATTGTCTGTTGTTCAGAAGTGGCTTGACACAAGGAATGCAACAGTCTTGTTACTTCTGTGTGTAGCAGCTCTTGAAGCACTGACTCCAGCTGCAGTCCACTCTTTGTGAATCTCCCCCACATTTTTGAATGGGTTCTGTTTTACAACTCTCTCCAGTGTGTGGTTATTCCTATTGCTTGTACACTTTTTTTCTACCACATCTTTTGCTTTCCTTCAACGCTCTATTACTGTGCTTGGACACAGAGCTCTGAGACCAGCCAACCTCTTTGCAATGGCTTTTGTGTCTTGCCCTCATTATACCAGGTGTCAATGATCGTCTTTTGGACAGCTATAAAATCAGCCATCTTCCCCATTATTGTGTAACCTACAGAACTAGAGACCATTAAAGCCCTTAGCAGGTGTTTTGAGTAAATTAGCTGATTAGAGTGTGGCACCAAGTGTCTTCAATATTGAACGTTTTCACGTTATTCTCATTTTTTAAGATACTGAATTTGGGGTTTTCATTGGTTGGTATAAAAATCAACAACATTAAAGGAATTAAAAAGTTGGATTACATCAGTCTGTGTGGAATTAATGTATTTCTTATGTAAGCATCACTTCTTGAATGGAATTAGTGAAAGCACCTTAGTATTAGTATAGTATTAGTTTAGTACCTTAGCATCAGTGATGACCAGCACCTGTGTTTGATATAGAAAATCATTTTCTATCACTTCTTTTTTGATTTAGTAGGTCTTCTCTGCATGAAACTAATAATTTATTTTTAAAAATCACATTGACTGCAAACCTCTGAAGGGTAGTGTAAGAACACTGTGAATAATATTTTGCATGTATTTTTTTCAATAACACCTAAACAACGCCAAATATATTGCAGATACCAAAAACAAAAGAAAATGCATTTTACATAGAATAACAATTTTGTTTTTACTTTATCGTGGGAATATGGCATTTAGAAAACAAATGAAGAAGAAGCAATGATTCAAAACTGAGGTTGCACAATATTGGAGAAAACTGGCAATGTGATGTTTTTGTTTTTTTGCAATGTCTATTGCCGTATGAACAATTCACCAGATGACTTGAACAGCTCTATTTGGCAATAATTTATTATTTTAGAATGATTCTGTAATTCTGTTGGATTATTTATATGCATAAAATGCAACAAACAAATTACAAGCATACATAAATACAGCAGAACAAAGATACAGAAAGCAATAATGCATTATGGTCTTCTGGAAAACCTACCAGTATTCATTTACAGAAACTGAATAATCAAATTTAAAGGTCACACTTCATTTTGATGGTCCATTTGTTGAATTTAAGTTACATTGCATCTACATGCCAACTAATTCTCATTAGATTATAAGTAGACTGATAGGTTGTCGGGGTTGGGGTTAGGGTTAGTGTAAGTTGACATGTACGTCCAAAGTTTCTTATAGTCAGTTAAATGTCTGTTGAAGGAGCCGTATCAGCAAATATTAAGCAGACAGTCTACTAATACTCAAATGGACCATCAAAATAAAGTGTTATCAATTTAAAAAAAAAAATGTTATATTGTCTAACCCTAGTGGAAATCACATATTCAAAAATGTGTTAAAAAGAAAGTAACGTCAGTAACATGTTTCCTGTTCTTTTTATAGGAATAGTCATCCTCAGGAAAAAGAGTCCTCTAGTTTGACCCAGGAACCTAAAGGGGTCAAGACACCATCTAAAAGCCCAGACAGTGTGCAGGTCAATGGCCAGACCACCATAGAAGCGTCGCATGTCATCGTGCCTCCAATGCGCAGTAAAAAGAAAATAATCCCACCACCAATGGATCTCACACTGGTAAAATCAATAGATGAGTCAAACAGAGACGGCTCAGCAGTGCCTGCGTGGAGTGTGAGTGGTGTATTTATATTTTAGCATCTTGTTATACTCTAAACTTTGGTTTTTCTAACCACGTCTTGTTGTTTTTTTAGTATGCCAGTCCATTGCCCAGTCCTGGTCTGGTGACCTCCACTCAGTCTTTGCTGGAATGGTGTCAAGAGATCACAAAGAAGTATAGAGGTGTAAAAATCACAAACTTCAGCACATCTTGGCGTAACGGCCTGGCTTTCTGTGCCATCTTACATCACTTCCACCCTGAGATAATGTGAGTTTCTGGTGTGTTCTTGTCATATTCAGCCTAAATTCAGTTTGTCTGCAGTAGCATTAAAGAAAAAATTGATTAACCCCACATAACCTTTTTAGTCTTGGGATAGAAAGTGCCCATCCAAAATGAACTGAAGTGCCCCCGCTACACTTTTCTTTGTTTTCATCCCTGTTTTGAATGCTACCTTGTATTTACCGTACTACTACTGTATAATATACATGGTATATTTATAAAAAATTAGAAAAATGTTTGAAATTTCCCATGATTTGTCACCATAACATTACAACATAACATTCACTTAAAATCTTAACTACCTTTAGCATTTTTTATAACATTGTTAAAAGTAGGGCTACAGAATATATTGCAAAATTATTGTTATCGTGATAATAGTATGTACAATATACATATTGCAGACATGTGTGATAAATTACATTTATTTTATGGACTGGTTGTTTATCTATATCTGACCAGTCAGATGGGACCTTACTATCTATATCTTTTACCGGTTTATTTTAATATTATTCATTCATTCATCTATTCATTCATTCATTCATTCATTTTCCTTCAGCTTAGTCCCTTTATTTATCGGGGATCGGCACACTTTTCCAGCATATGTTTTACGCAGCGGATGCCCTTCCAGGTGCAACCAGTCAGCTGGGACTTCCAGTTGGGACTCGAACTAGCAACCTTTTTGCTTTTTACAGTGCTAACCACTGAGCCACTATGCCGCCTATTTTAATATTATTACATGAATAAATTATTTGAAACATAGCTAATACAAAAAAAACAGCATTTTTCTAGGTTAATATTATATTGTACTAAACAACAATATCACATATTTTCGAAGTATCGTGCAGCTCCTAGTTAAAAGTAATATTTTGATAATTAGGCGTTCGCGGTGGCACAGTAGGTAGTGCTGTCGCCTCAAAGCCAGAAGGCCACTGGTTTGAGCCTCGGCTCGGTCAGTTGGTAGGCAGGTCAGGGTAATTAGCCAAGTTATTGTATAATGATGGTTTGTTCTGTAGACTATCGAGAAAAAAACTATAGCTTAAAGGGGCTAGTCATTTTGACTTTAAAATGGTATTTAAAAATTTCTTTCATTCTAGCCAAAATAAAATAAATTGGACTTTCTCTACAAGAAAAATATTATCAGACATACTGTATGGCTTATGGACTGTAATATGAAATAAAATATCTTGAAGTAACAGAAATTGTTTATAAGATAAATACTCAAATCTCACAAATGCTGATATTAACACATAATTAAATACTGGGGTAAATGTCTTCAAAAATGTAATATTAAATGCAATATTGTGATATGTGTGTATATTATATTTATTATGTATATGTAAAACACACACATACATAAAAACAATAACCAATCAAAACTTTTTGTATAGATTAAATATATAAACATAAGGGGTGATGCAGTGGCGCAGTAGGTAGTGTTGTCGCCTAGTTTGCATGTTCTCCCTACGTTTGCGTGAGTTTCCTCCGGGTGCTCCAGTTTCCCCCACAGTCCAAAGACATGTGGTACAGGTGAATTGTGTAGGCTAAATTGTCCGTAGTGTATGAGTGCGAATGAGTGTGTGTGGATGTTTCCCAGAGATGGGTTGCAGCTGGAAGGGCATCCGCTGCATAAAACATGTGCTGGATAAGTTGGCGGTTCGTTCCGCTGTGGTGACCCCAGATTATTAAAGGGACTAAGCTGAAATGATAGTTAATGAATGAATATATATATATATATATATATATATATATATATATATATATATATATATATATATATATATATCATATAATATCATATCATTTGTATTATAATATCATTTGTATTAAGGATGCTCCAATCAGGATATTTGCAGCTGATACCGAGTACCTATTCCTTGTCATGGTTATCGACCGATACCAAATACTGATTCTAATGTTTCAAGCATAAAGCACATTTTCCCTCTAAGTATGATACTTAAGTGGAGATCTCTCCTTACCTAAGAGAATAAATTAAATATGTTGCAAATAATTCCTTGAACATGTCTCTTATAACCATTCAGTGTGGACATGTCATGGTCAGAAGCAGCTTTACAGAAAATAATAAAACACAAAAAAATTGGTAAGGTAAATTATTAACAATTTAAAAACATAGCAAATGATGAAAGAAAAATTCAACATGTCTCAATGAAGTTTAGAGTGCATATTGAATGCATAAGAAGTTAAAATGCACACCTAGAAATCCATTACTTCTTTACTAAAAGGAAGTAGGTCCATAAACTACTGCTTATTACAATGACTATATTTTAAATATTAATATAAATATATATTTATATATATATTTTAAATATTTTTTTTATATTTTAAATATTTTAATATTTAAAATATTAAATATTCAAGTAAAAAAAAATGTTTTTTTTATTATTTTCTCAATTTTTCTAGACAGGTTTTAATGAAATTACAATATTGTTGAAAACACAGAATGTAAAAATATTTCTTATATGTCCTCTGCATGTAAACACATAAACAAGCAATTGTGATCGGTTCATAAAATCGGCCAGATCAGAGCATCCCTAATTTGTATCATATACATACATATTTATATCTAAATATAAACATTTTCTCAAATATATACATGCATGTGTGTATTTATATATACATAATAAATATACACAACACACTTACACATATATTATGTCAAAAAATATTAAATTTAAAAAAAGAATCTCACAAATGCAGACAGTTAAGTAAATACTAGAGTGAATTCTTTCAGTGATGTAATATTAAATGAAACATTATTTAATAACTGAAAAAAATACAATTAATCCAAGCAACTAAAATATATCAATTCAAATGGATTTATGATTTATGATTCTCTTCCAGTAACTTTGACTCATTGGAGCCTCACAACATAAAGCAAAACAACAAAACTGTAAGTCTGGCGTAATCAAACACTCCACATACAGACATTTTGTAACCATAAAAACAAACTAAAACCCACCATTTATTCTCCCTTTTTCATCCCATTCAGGCTTTTGATGGTTTTGCTTCACTGGGCATCTCTCGTCTGCTGGAGCCCTCAGACATGGTGCTTCTCTCTGTCCCGGACCGTCTCATCGTCATGACGTACCTCAGCCAAATCCGTACCCACTTCACGGGACAGGAGCTGAGCGTCCTACAGATCGAGCAGAACAATAGTCAGTCCAGCTACACATTAGCTGGACCAAACCAGCGGCCCGATGTTCAAGCGGCCACCAAATTCTGTGTGGAGAGACTCCAGGCTGGAGCTTTTACTGGAGACAATAACAGTAAAGACTCAATTGGGGAGGAGGAAAGCGAATCCAAGTCAAACGGAGGACTTGTTGCTCCGCCGAGGACTAAGCGGACAGGAAAGGTGGATGGAGAGGAGATAGACGGAGGTGTGCAGACTCCTGTGGCTCCTCCACGACTGAATGCTGCTGCTGTCAGATCAGGGCTCGGACACTTGCGAGATGCAGATCTGGTGAAGAAACGACGGTCGAGGATGAAGAGCGAGTCTATGGACGAGCCTGATTCAAAAGAGATGCTACATGAGGTAATGCACACTCACTGGATTGACTTTTGTCACATTTAGGATTTGATGCATCTGTTCCAGTTTGTGTAGTTGTAGAGCACTATTAAAACAAAGAAAGATTGATTAAAATACTTTTCAAGTCAAAATTATTAGCCCTTCTGTGAATTTTTATTTTATTTTTTTCAAATATTTCACAAATGATGTTTAACGGAGCAAGGAATTTTTCCACATTATTTCCTATATTTTTTCCTCTGGAGAAATACTTTTTTTTATTTTGGCTAGAATAAAAGCAGTTTTAATTAAAAAAAAAAACATTTTAAGGTCAGTATTATTAGCACCCTTCAACAATATTTTTTTCTGATTATCTAGAGAACAAACCATAGTTATACAATGACTTGCCTGTTTCCCCTAACTTGCATAGTTAAGCCTTTAAATGTCACTTTAAGCTGTATAGAAGTGTCTTTAAAAATATCTAGTCAAATATTATTTACTGTCATCATGGCAAAGATAAAATAAATCAGTTACTAGAGATGAGTAATTAAAACTATTATGTTTAGAAACTTGTTGAAAAAATCTCTCCATTAAATTGAATTTTAGGAAAAATACAGAGGGCATATTAATTCAGGAGGATAATAATTCTGACTACAATTGTATATAGCAACAAAATGAGGTAAAGGACACTGAATTATCTCTTTTTTATGTTTTTGATTTGTGACCCTGGATCACAAAACCAGTCTTAGGGGTCTTTTATTTTTACATTATCCTAAATCTGAATACATAATATTTCTATCAATGCATGACTAGTGGTTGGTGCATCAACACATAGCACTATGGTGTTCACGACACCATGACTTTAATTCCTAATTATAAAAATATTTTTTTTTAAATGCTTTAAAATGTAAAATAAGCAGCGCAGTGGGTATCGCAGTTGCCTCACAGCAAGAAAGTCGCTGATTCAAGTCTCAGCTTGGTCAGTTGGCATTTCTGTGTTGAGTTTGCATGTTCTCCATGTGTTCGCTTGGGTTTCCTCCAGGTGCTCCGGTTTCCCCCTCAGTCCAAACACATGAGCCACATCCGTAGTGTATGTGTGTGAATGAGAGTGTACGGGTGTTTCCCAGTGATGGGTTAATAATAATAATTTCTTCTATTTATACAGCGCTTTTCTGGACACTCAAAGCACTTTACACATTTTTGGGGGGAATCTCCTCATCCACCAATAGTGTGCAGCATCCACCTGGATGACGTGACGGCAGCCATATTACGCTGGACCGCACTTCAGCTGATTGGTGGAGAGGAGACAGAGTGATAAAGCCAATTATTATATGGGGATGGTTAGGAGGCCATGATGGACAGAGGCCAGTGGGCAAATTTGGCCAGGATGCAGGGTTAAACCCCAACTCTTTATCGATGGACATCCTGAGATTTTAAACGACCACAGTGAGTCGGTTTAATGTTTCATCGGAAAGACGGCACTCAGTGAGCAGAATAGAGTCTCCTTCACTTTACTGGGGCATTAGGGCTCACACAGATTGCAGGTTGAGCACCCCCTGCTAGCCTCTCTAATACCACATTCGGCAGCAACCTAGCTTTCCCATGTGGTCTCTCATCCAGGTACTGGCCAGCTTAGCTTCACTGGGCAGCCATGTGAGAGTTGCAGAGAGCTATTTTTCTGTAAAGTCGGGTTGCAGCTGGAAGTCGCTGTGTAAAACAAATGCTGGATAAGTTGGCGGTGCATTCCGCTGTGGCAACCCCTGATTAATAAAGGGACTAAGCTGAAAAGAAAATGAATGAATGAATGAATGAAAAGCAAAATATTGTAAAATCTACATTTAAGGTTGACCAAATTAAAAGGTTAGTTGCCCCAAAAGTGAAACATTTTGTATCAATGTAATTGTCAATGTATTTGATGCTGTCTGCTCGTGACTCTTTAAATGAGTGTGTTATTAGAAGTTTATAATTAGAATTTGTTTGTATAACATATACTTTTTATTTAATAATATGCACAGCTAAGAACTTTCACAAAAATTTAAATTCTATCATCATTTACTCTCACTTTACTTGTTCCATACCAGTTTTTTTTTTCTTTTGTTGAACTCAAAAGAGGATATTTAGACAAATGTTTTAAACTTGTAAACATTGACTTCCATAGCTTTTGTTTTTCCTACAAAGGTTACAGGCCACCAACAGAACAAAACTAATAAAAACTCAAACAGGAATGAAACAAGTAAATGGTGGGCAAATGATGACAAAAATTCATTTGGGATGAACTATGATTAAGTTCTTAGCTATGCTTACTAATCCAAAATGACATAAAAAATAAAACCTTCTAATAATATATTAATTCAAATAGTCAATAGCTGCTAGATTCAAATGCACAAAAGAGTCACTGTCAACTTGACATTCTGAACAAAACACTAATGCAAGTAAATGCCGTTTCAGATGTTCAATCTAAAAGTTTTTTTTTAATTTATTTATTTATTTATTTTGCTTACCTCTGACAGTCAGATAAAAGTGAACCAACAGTTGAAGGAACAAATGGCTCAGCAGCTGCTAGAGAAAATGCTGAAGCAGGTACTCCTTAATCATCTTCCCGAAGATTAAATTTGAGCATTTTACAATCCGATTTACTTCTTTTCCCCATTGAATGTGTGTCTGCAGAACCTCAGGATGCAAACCAAGATGCCAAATCAGCAGATTTTGAGACAATGGTCAGTATGTCTTCAATATTTGACAGAACTGTAAAGTAAACAATTTGGTCAATTTGCATGTCAGATATTTAGATTTATATTCATATAGTGATCATCAAACTTGTGCGGGGTTCACAAAACATACTTATGATGTTTCTACTAATTTAAAGGTGTTGATCACACAAATAATACAATTTTGTCATCATTTTCGCACCCTCAAGTGGTTCCAAACCTGTTTACATTTCTTTCTTCTGTTGATCTCTAAAAAATGTTGGAAACCATATAGAGCTGCACAGTATCTCATTTCAGCGTCAATATCAAGATGTGATCATTCAAAATAGTTACATTACAGAATATGAAATCTTGAGTCTCTATTAAAATGAATATATGTAATATAATGTATTGTAATGACTGTACAATGATTTCTAAACACTCAGGCATAAGAAATTTTGTTTTGCAACTTTAATAATGATTCATTTTATACAATTATTTTAATTTTAATTTTTCAATTACAGCACCAGAATACTATAAGACTCAGAAAATGATAAAACACAGTTTATTTCAATTGAATTTTTTGTTTTTTATTGTATTTGTCTATCCTTGTAGATTGCTTATTAGAACTCTCCGCTACAGAATCATCCCAATCAATCTACTGTTATAAATAATTTCCAAATATATATAAAGTCATCTGGTGAAACTGTATTCATGTCGTAATATAGATATCTATCGCAGAATAACAAAATATCACAATGTTAGATTTTTCCCAATATCGTGCAGTGCTAAAATCATTTCCATATTTATGCCTTCCAGCATACCTAGACAGAAAAAACAACACTCATAAATGTTTGAAACCACTTAAGGGTAGGGAATTTTCGAATGAACTATCCCTTTAGCCCTACAGCAGGGGAAAAGTATTGAACATGTCACCATTTTCCTCAGAAAGCATATTTCTAAAGGTGTAGTTGACTTGATTTTCACTGGATCTTGGTAACAACCAAAGAAATCCACGTATGCAAAAAAACAAACCTAATTAGTAAACAAATGAAGTTATGGGTAATAAAATTCAATGACACAAGAAAAAAGTATTGAACACACCAAAAAAAAGGGGTTGCAGAAAGATAGTGAAAGCCCAGACAGCATCTGAAATCTCTCAGTAGTTCTTCAGAAAACCTCTGCCCTTCGTCATTGTAAATGAATATTAGCTGCCTAAGTCCAACATCTACATTAGCAGAATGGTGAAAATGAAACCAGGGTGGACATTTCAGACACCGATCCAAAACGCAGCCAAGGAAACTCTCAAATGCTTTCAGAGAAAGAAAATCAAGCTGTAGAATGGCCCAGCCAATCACCTGACCTGAATCCAATAGAAAATACAAATTAAAGATCAGATTTGATAGACGGGACAAACAGAACCATCAAGATTTTGACATTCTGTTGAAGTCTGTGTAAAACTCACACCTGAAGAATGCATGTGACTTCATCTCCATATGAGAGGCATCTTTAGGCTGCCATCACCAAGTATTAAATGCATATCAGTAGTTCAGTACATTCTCTTTGTGTCATACTATTAGTATTACACATAACTCATTTTTTAAGATTTATTTGTTTTGTTTTATTTTTATGTTTGTATTGTTTGGGTTTTTACCAAAATCTGGGTGAATTCCATGTCAACAGCTTCTTTAAAAATATTATTCCCTGGAAAAAACATGATGTGTTCAATACTTATTTTCTCTGCTGTAAGTCCTATCTTGTATTTTTTCATATCTTCTGTTACAAGATGATTTTCGTGAATCCGGTGCTCAAATCACTATTACCATCTCATGTTTAATTAGCCTGTTTTATAAGTCTTTAAGTTAATTCTGGGCTGTCCTTTCCTCTCCATTGTCTTTGTTTGTCCTTGTCTGTTTTATAAATGTTGGTGTACTCCTCACAATTTCTGTCTCGATCCATCTTTTTTCGCTCTTGTCTTCTCTCTCTTTCTCTCTGTATGTGTATTGCTCTGTTGTCTGGTTTTATGTATGTCTCCCTGTGGTCCTTTCTGGCCAGTGTCTGCAGGACACCAATCAGTATGTATTGAGTGAACTTCAGGCTCTGGAAACGGAACAGAAGCACATAGACAGCAGAGCAGCGGTGGTGGAGAAACGCCTGCGAAGACTCATGGAGTCGGGTAGGAAAAACACTCATAAAGAGCGGAAAACAGAGCTGAAATGCTATTGGAATGGACTTTTTTCTTAAGGTTTCTCCCATTCAGATATTATTAGCTCAATTTTAGTTTGTGAATAAAATATTTTCCATACAAAATAAAAAAGTTAATAATTTAGTTCTCTGATTATATGTTTTATGTTTCTTTTATAGTAACAAACAGGGGCGGACTGGGACAAAAATTCAGCCCTGGCACTGTAGCCACACCAACCCATATTACCACACCGAGCCCCAATCACGGACACGCATATTCACTACTTATATTGGTGTACAGATGGTGAAATAATATAAGCAGTACTATTCAAACATTTAATTTATGTGACTGGAACAAAAACAACCCGTTTATAACAAATTTATACATACAGTAAAAGATGTTACTTACGATAGGAGGAACCTTTGAATGTATATTACAAACACACATCTTTTCATACAAATGGACATGCAACACTTTAGCATACTTTTATTCAGAAAAAAACTATATATGTCATTCTCTCCACCCCTACCTAAGGAAGAATTACATACTGTAACCTGTGCATGTATTTAATGTTTTACTTTAGAGACTTGCTATATGTATTCAGAGTTCACTACAAATGCCTACTGTAGTATGGCTATAGCTGTAGGGTTTTTTGCATGTTAGACTATATTGCTAGTACAGTAGCATACAGCAGTTTGTATACCCTAAATCTCACATTATAACGATTTTTTAAAAATGTACAGGAGTTCTACGTTAAGGTTACTGTTAAGTACAGTGTAGGTACCTGTCAACTACTGTCAGAATAGTGTGAATGTCATCAAAAGACTTATTATATGTTAGTGTAATGGCTTAGAAGTATATTTTCTGTTTTTTTCTTACCTCCTCTTCTTACCTTTCCTCCATCATCATAATATTCACATCTTGCCCTAGATATAAGCTGCCTGCATGTAAAAACAATACATATATAAACTAATATAAAATAAAATAAAAAACTGACCGGCCCACATTTTAAAAAATAGTCCGGCCCTTCTGGCATTTGCCAGAATTTCCAGATGGCCAGTCCTCCCCTGGTAACAAATAATAACAAGTTTATAATTTTGATCAAAGTAGTTGCTGACTTGCTGCGTCAGACACTAAACAGAACGCTCCACAGCGCCTCCCAAAGCCTATAGTTATAATTGCATGTTTTTGTTTGCAAGCTTCGTTTACAGTCAGCAAAGTAACATTGTGAAATTCGAATAGTGTTTTTATTTTTAGATTATTAACTGCACACCCATAATATGACATGACTCATTTTCTGTCTAACAGGGAGTGATAAAGATGAAGAGGAGAAGCTGATTCAGGAGTGGTTTACTCTGGTCAACAAGAAGAATGCTTTGATAAGGAGACAGGACCATCTGGAGCTGCTGTATGTTTTCATCATCTTGTTTTTTTATAAGACACAGTCTGTTCACACGTCAGCTGTATGTATTAATATTAATGATTCTTGCAGGCAAGAAGAGCAGGATTTAGAAAGAAGGTTCGAGCTGCTGAACCGAGAGCTCAGAGCCATGATGGCTATTGAAGGTGAGCGGAGTCACTTTAAACTAGCGCTGGCTGATGCAAGATATTTCATTAAAAAAGGGGGCATTCGTTAAACACTACTCTGATTAGCTAATAATTATAGTGTAATTAGTTTTCTTATGGTGCAATACATTCACTAGCCACTTTATTAGGTACACCTTACTAGTATCGGGTTGGACCCACTTTTGCCTTCAGAACTGACTTAATCCTTCGTGGCATAGATTTAACAAGGTACTGGAAATATTCCTCAGAGATTTTGACATGAGAGCATAACACAGTTGCTGCAGATCAGATCCATGATGTGAATCTCCCGTTCCACCACATCCCAAAGGTGCTCTATTGGATTGATATCTGGTGGTTGTGGAGGCCATTTGAGTACAGTGCACTCATTTTCATGTTCAAGAAACCAGTCTGAGATCATTTGCGCTTTATGACTTTATTATCCTGCTGGAAGTAGCCATCAGAAGATGGGTCCACTGTGGTCAGAGATGGACATGGTCAGCAACAGTACTCAGGTTGGCGGTGATGTTGACACGATGATCAATTGGTACTAATTGGACAAAAGTGTGCCAAGAAAATATCCCCCACACCATTACACCACCACCACCAGCAGCCTGAAACGTTGATACAAGGCAGGATGGATCCAAGCTTCTATGTTGTTGACACCAAGTTCTGACCCTACCATCCGATTGTGGCATCAGAAATTGAGACTCATCATTTTCGATAAGAAACTGTGTGTGTTCTAGTAGAGGTTATTTTTATATATACATATAAAATGTTATTGAAGGAAGTCAACTGGAGAGCCATGTATTTTTGGTCAAAGAGCCACACGTGGCTCGAGAGCCATAGGTTCCCTACCACTAGGCTATCACTTTAGTGGTCAATTTTGACTGACATTGCTCATATTTCATCCATCAGACTGGCAAAAAACTCAGGCCCAGCAGCACAGAGAACAGCTGCTGCTTCAGGAACTGGTATCACTGGTCAACAAGCGGGACAAGCTGGTCAGAGACATGGATGCCAAAGAGAGAGGGTAAGTCTCTGATTCACAAATTGAGAACACAACCTTACAATTCATATGCACTGAATGTCTTTTGTATATGCAGGGCTTTGGAGGAGGACGAGAGACTGGAAAGAGGTCTGGAGGCCAGACGGAGGAAATTTAGCAATAAGGAAAAGTGTGTTCTTCAATAATAATAGTTTAAAAAGTTAATATGGAACTGTGGCGATTGCAGCAGGACATTAGTGTGCCTTGTTATAACTTCCTCACAACTTCAAGATCTCAGTGGGATATAAAACACCTCCAGAAGTTTTTGCCTAAAAGTTTGCACAATTTTGATGTTGTTTTTTTCTCCCCAGGCTGCACTGGTGTAGAGTTTGGTATTACCCAGGCACATTCTAAAAATGTACCTCTATATATTTTTGAAGACCGTCGAATATATCCTAGGAGCTACGTTTATGTTTTTTGTTTTTTTGTTTTGCAATTTTTGTTTTTTGCAAATCCAGAAGAAGCCGCTGTGTATGCTTTTTGAGATCTCAAATTTCTCTTGCGAGTGCCTTTTGTATCTGCTGTTCTCTCGTAAATCCACCAGAGGCCGCTGTTGACTGACTGACTGAATGACTGACTGACCAGTCGACTGACCCACCCTCCTCCTTCCCTAAACCCAACCCATAATGTTTTATAAAGCACAGATTGACCCACCCACCCACTTTCCTAAACCCAACCGACAAATTTAAAAAGCAATTCAGAAAAAGAAAAGCCCTCGCCTGATTTTTTTACCACATTCTTACCCTTTTATGTACTTGTTTATTTTGTTTTTTGGTTTGTCTTTGTCTTACCCGCTTTCGGGAACCCCTCTTCACCGAACTTGAACCCTGGGTCAGGGTAATCTCCTCTCTGCGTCTCAATTCCACTAACGTACATGGCGAGCTACCTAAACAAACTGGTAACAGCCGGAAAGCCGTCCATACGGAGGTAAGTGGTCAGCTGGTAAGCGTGAAAAGGAAAAGCGTCATACCGCCCCATAGCGTTCGTTTAAAAAATGCAGCCATGCGTACTTCTGGCTACATAATTCACGATCTCCAGAAATGTACATGGGGTACATTTCAGAATGAGCTTGTGTTGCAACTAAAGCAATATTACTTTAATATTGAACAATAAACACTTTTCACACATCTGAATGGTAAACAATAAACTGAACACAGTAAATTGCAGGAAGAAAACGGGAAAATCCTACACAATGCTGCAGATCACAAGAAATCCTATATTTATTAACAGCATTTTTTTGCTGAAGTGAAGAAAATATTCCTGAGTAAATAATAGATTTCTTGCAAGCTACAGCATTTAGGGTTTTCTCTGCTTTGTTATGCTTTATTGTGAATGTAATATTTTTTCACAGACAGGAATAAGCCAGTTTGACTGTCATTAAGGTGTATGGAAAAGACAAAGAGAATTGCGCCAAAGTTTGCTGGTTTTACATTATTTATTGAAGTGTGTTGTTTGCTGGTATGCCAAAATGTGTCTGTCGGGCTGTTGTCTTGCATTAGTTGCAAAATGTGTTTTGAGACGGTATGTGTCTCCAAATGAATGTATTCATGAAATGATTTTGCATTGCAGTGCCTTTAGAGGTTTATTACCTTTCCAAAAGGGGCTTTTTATATACAGTCAAGCCATTCTGTATTTTTCTGTTTTAAATCTCGACAAGTTCATTCAAAATAAGAATGAAACAAATATTTATAGATTGTTTTATAGATATACAACAAAAGTATTTTGTCAGACTGTACACTTTTTTTGATATGTTAATGTGTTATTCATTCCTATTTTAAGAGTTAGGGTGTTTTATTCAATAAAGTTTGATGCTGTTTGAATTAACGTTGAATATACTTAATCAGTGTTATAATTTGTTGTATGTATTTAATAGTGTTAATAATGAATAGTCCAAAATAATTTTATTATTTTAAAATATTAATAATATTTACTTTTTAGTTGAATATTCTGTCTATAACCTCTGATATAAATCATGTTGGTTGGTAGGTAGGTAGGTAGGTAGAGATAGATAGATAGATAGATAGATAGATAGATAGATAGATAGATAGATAGATAGATAGATAGATAGATAGATAGATAGATAGATAGATAGATAGATAGATAGATAGATAGATAGATAGATAGATAGATAGATAGATAGATAGATAGATAGATCCCACTATTAATGAGATATGTTTCATCTTCAGCGCTGGTTTTGTATCTATATCTGATTTATCTATCTAAAAAAACTGTTTTGATGAGGCTGCAATGGAACAGCTTTGCTATTTTACTCTATAGAGCAAAATATGAGATATGACATATAAATTTGGTTTATGGGACTTTTTAAACCTGTATTTGTAGGGGGAGTAAATTTAAATAGATTTGCGCTATTAATGAGACTGGTGTAATTTAATGTTGTTGTAGAAGAACTTTCCTTTGATTTTTGTTTTACTTTTAAGACTATAATATGTAACATAAACCCAAGATCAATGAAAAAAAACAACAACTGGCAATTAAATAAAAATAACAGAATTTAATAGTAATGACGTAGGCTTCAATAATTAAATAGCCTATTTAAAACAACTTCTGTAGGCCAGTTAAATGAAAATAAATAAAATCAAGCCAGTTTTTTATACAACAACATTAAAGTACACAAGTAGCCTGTCAAAAATGGTGCAAATAACAAGTTTTTCAGGGGTGGGGAGTCAGATTGTGATACAACACCGGTTACTTTAATCACAATCAACATGGGATCTTTAATCGTATGCTGTTTTATGTTATGGTTTAACTGTGAAACTACAGATAGACATCCAGCAATGCCTTGGAAAACACCTGCAACTCCTTAGCATTGCGGCCATTTTGTTTTACAGGAAAACCACCGCGTAGACAGACAGTTTATCCCTGTATACGTCAGCTAATCGATTAAAACACATATCATAAGCACTAAGAAAAATCAATCATTATATTGCTGGCTATATCTGCACCCTATGTAGAATATAACTGATGCTCGGATCCCACCGGCAGGCGGCGGAAGCGGGTCAGAATAGCGGCGCATCATCATCGTCACTGCCGCACCTGCGCGGCTTGTGGAAACCACAGAGGAGAGAAGAGGCGTTAAGACACACTGGATTGATCTTACGAGGAAATCTGGAAACGGTCCATAAAGAGGCTCATCAAAAACGCAATCCTCCTTTTATTGCTGCTATTCCAGGCTAAATACCGGCTCAGAGTCTGCGGTCGGCCGGTAAACAGTAGGCGACCCAGAGCGCTTCTACCAGCTGGACAAACAATAACAAGCCCTTTGCTGTCACATCATGAACCCTGAATAGTAAGTCGTGTTACCCTGACATACATCCACATTTATGACCGTCTGATGACTTCAGCCAGATTTCCTGGGCAGATGTTGATCAATATACAGTATTTAAATAAACAACAGTAATGTGAAATGTGTTGGCTTCATGGCTGCAAACAGGATTTAAAGGGTGTTTTAATTTTTAAGTGCGTATATGTTTTATTACTGGATTTATTGGGTATCTGTTTATTCTGGGACTAATTATTCTGATTACTTTAAGAGTTCAAATTAAATCATTAATAAACAGCTTAGGGCTGGGGGATATTGCAAAAACAATTATCACGATATCATGTTTCATATAATTCAGTATCGATAATTATTGAATATTTTTAGCAATACATTTAGAAATATTAGGATTTTTCTTTTTTGTTATTTAACCACTTTATTTTAATTTAGCAACATTACTAAGGCAAATACTTATAATAGTAAAAAAAATATTTAAGCAAAATATCTGATCTCTTCATAATAGAATAAACATAAGTGTTAAAGAGACTCTTAAATTGGATAAATTAAATATTACAAAGAGTGTACAATGGTGAAGGTAGATCAACATGTCTAAGGTATGAATAATAATACATTAAATCTCAAACTCTGTCAACAAAACAAATTGTTAATCAAATGTGAGGTTTCAATAAAGGAACTAATCATCATTATTCAGATGCTTACTCAACATTATAAATTGTACAACATTACAAATTAAATGACTAATTTACCCCCAATTTTAGCTAAAGGCAGGGATGCACAAGAAAAAAAAAACAAAAGCCACTTTGGCGACATCCTTACATCCTTTTTTATTTACCATCTCCTTACTGCCGCTGTAGGGCACTCGTTTTCTCACAGCATGTGCGCGTCTTGCAAGTTGCGTGCCTCCATTTGAAATGACAAACTTACACCCTAAGCAGGGTTTCTGCGGGGTCTTAAAATGTCTTAAATTTCTAAAGCTAAATTTTATGACTTAAAAAAAGTTTAAATCTACTGAAATGTTTTGTTGTCTTAAATCTTTTTTAACAAGTCTTATTTTTCCTGTTAATTTTATTTTCTCAGTTTTATTATTATTGTAGACTGAAGTAAATGACAGCTATGTTTTGTTCTTTTTTTTTGTAAGGGTGGTAGGGTTTGGGAATGGATATATTTGAAAATTAATAAAAGAATTCAGATATTAATATTGAAAAAACAAAATTATTATTGTTGTATTATTAAATGTATTTAAATTTTTCCTTTTTTTTAAATAAGGCAAGCGAAAATTCCTTCTAACTAGGGTATACGGGGCAAAAAATCCTTAGTATTTAGCCCTGTATAAGTCTGAAAATTTTATTTCTAAATGTCTTAAATAGTCTTCAATTTACCTTAGTAAAACCTGTAGAAACCCTGCTAAGCTTATTGGCATTTGTTCCAAGGCGCACGCTCAGCAGCCACATTTTAATAAAACTAGCACTTCACACCAAACTTTTTCTTAATCGTTATTTACAACGGTGTTTGGTCAATAAATATCGATACCGATTTTAATGCCTACCTCTTTAAATTCTATTGATAATTCATTCATTCATTTTTCTTTGGCTTAGTCCCTTGTTTATCAAAGGTCGCCACAGCGGAATGAACTAACAATTATTTTGACATATATTTTCTGCAGCAGATACCCTTGTTGTGCTGGGAGGTACTCCCCTGCCATAAAGTGCACCCCTCTGAAATGTGTATCTGTTAACTGAAATTAAATGAGAGTGAGGCGAGTTTCATGAATGGAAACCTTCCCTTACAATAAATAAATAAATAAATAAACTGACTTTAAACACAATACCAATGAAACTAAGTAAATTGCTTAATGTGTGGTTTGGTTGAAAACAGCATCTACAATTTTATACAGGTTTGCTCCATTTAGCCTATATGTCTGTTTAAACCCACCAAAAAGCCTAACTTTAGGCTGCTCTACAGTCACTATTATTATTTTACAATGATATGTGTAAACCTAGTGTGTTTTAAAATATGTATTGCTTCTTGTCCTTGCTTTATCCATCAAAATAATAAACATTTTATGTTTTAATCAATTATAATCCGTTGATATATATTTTTTCAAATGTAGACTGAGAATGCTAATGAAAAGGAGCTCTATGACTGGTGTGTTTCTTGGCACAACACCCTTCTTGCCGCAACCCAGTACTGGAAAATCTATTATTAATGTGCTGTCTAGTAA